CCTCTCTCTCTCTCTCTCTCTCTCTCTCTCTCTCTCTCTCGTAGGCGTTCGATTTTATTTCGATCGTTTCTAGACTTTTACACCGAAAGACGAGGAAAAAAAAATGTCGAAGCGTGACGACTTTGCAAACAGCATTTCGATCGTTTCTCCCGCTTTTATTTAAAAAATACGCGTGCATTTCTGTTTGAAAATGTTTTTTTTTAATCTTTCCCCCCCTCCCCTTTTTTTTTTCCAAGAATCCTTTCATTTGAACACTTTCACTGCTGTTTGCAAAGACGCACATTCGTTAATGAATGTTTACGTGATTCTATCTTGTGCCTTACATCGACACGAGTATACAGTACTCGTCAAAAGCATCGGTGAATGTGCATCAATTTTCACGTGCATCGTCGCTAAATCGGATTGGATTAATTTTGCTTTTCGAAATTCGATTCGGCAGATTCGTTCAGTCTTTGTGGATCGGTGCATCGATGTGCGATATTAGATACGTAGCGTAAGATACTGCATACTTTCCTGCATATCGATCCCACGAGTATTAAAAAAATTTCATTTCTATCGATACAAATCGTCCAACATTTATATCGAATTTTCGTTTCCACGCAATCTTTTAATCCGATGTATTTTTTTTTTTTTTATTCTATCGATTCAATTAGAATCAAACTTTCGATCAAGATATATACCCCGGCGATACGAGGATCGATACGAGGATTGCCGTCGAACGCAGGAAAATAAGCGATCGAGACTAGAGCATAGGGCGTTGGCGTGACTTTTGACTCGAGTTCCGCGGTCTGTGTGGCATACATACCATTCCATTTCCGAAGGCACGATCTCCAGCAGGTGTATACACACAAAAGTTTAGACACGCGTATGTAATATATACGTGTACTTTGAAAATTATCGAAGGCGTGACGAAATGTGACATGGAGGCTATTATAGATTTCGCGCGAATTGGAACTCGTCGAGATTTTCCTGTTTTTCGCTTTTGGTCCCCGATCTTTAACAAAAAAAAAAAAAAAAGAAATAATAATTTCCTCTCCAATTGTTTCTTAAAAATCGATCGGAAAGAATTTGAAAGAATTTCGCCATCTCGGATTTTAAAAAATGGAGAATAAATTTAATTTCCATCCGGGGGGAAAGAGGAAAGTAATTATTCCTTTTCCATCGAAATTCATCCTTTCCCCGATTCCAATTTATTTTTCCTGATCCTAATCCCTCGAGCAGAGTTGCAATCGCGCGAAATTCCTGTTCACTGCGGGACGGGCGCAAAGAAACACAGTTAACAAGTTAGCAAAAGAAACATTCAAACGATTCGGTTCGAGACCCGATACGAGTTGTCGATTCGCGCGACAATTGATTAAATGAGGAAAATTTTGATTGAAAGAGGAGTTGATCCGAAGAGTGTATACATATAGATATTCCCTGTCTTATCGAATCGAGAACTTAATCAGTGTGATCAGTGTACCTGTTGGTTCCTCCCTGGCCAGTGGCTGGATCTGGGGAAGAGGTTCACGTGCATGTCTTCGGCCACTAATTTCGTTAGGAGACTTTTAACGACCGTTGGTTGGTGATGATGAGTGGTGGTGATGGTGGTTGTTATGGTGTTGATGTTGATCATGACGATTATGACGATGTAATCTTAATTTCTTTTTTTTTTTTTTTTTTTTTTTTTTCTATGGCGGTGCTCCATGACGAACGATATATAATATGTGGTGGTTGTTGTTGTAAATAGTTGTTGAGAAGGGGGTGAGAGTGACGAAGGGTCGAATGCGGGCGTGAATTCCCCCCCCATTTAGGAATTGCTAAACGTCTTATCACCTACACATCCAAAGCAGCTCATTCCACGCATTCCAATCGCAGCACTTTTTTTTTTTTTTTTTGCTTTTTCTTTTATATACGATATACATATATATATAAATAGATAATATATATGTATATATATATATATATTTCTTTTTTCTCCACGATTTATCATCGCATTAGTTTACTTCTTTGTTTCTTTCTTTTTTTTTCTATTTCTCTGTTTTCTATTTCCCCGATCAATTTTTTTTTTTTTTTGCCCAAGTCTTGGTCGTCGACGTCTCGTACAGTCGTCGTTCGATCCGCAAAGGGTGCAAAGAGAAAAGACATAAGAAGAGAAAAGGCAGACAGAAGAAGAGAGAGAGAGAGAGAGAGAGAGAGAGAAAGAGGGCAGGGAGAAAGAGAAGAGAGATCGTGGGACAAGGATCAGAGAGATTCTATGCGCTTGAATATCCCGTTCTTTTTCTTTTTTTTTTTTTTTTCTTAGGAGAGATCGTTTCCTTGCTGCATGCTTTGTCAAGGATTTCAGCCACGGCTAACATACTTCATTGGCTCACCGACACCTCTCTGTCGCCTTGCGTAAACAGTTATTCCCTTCTTCAACGACTCGTTCAACATTCCGTTCTCATTCCGATTAAATTTCAAGTTCCACAAAGGAAATTAAATCGAAAAACCAAGAAAAGCCTATTTATTTATTACGTGTCGCAACCGAGAAAGAAGCATGCGTGTGTTAAAATAAAATCTCCTCCAACATGTATATTATCTCTGATGCAATTTTTTTTTCTTTTTTTTTTTTTTTCTATCTCCTGAAAACAATTTTCCTCGTGGCTCGGCCAATCGATGTTTCGAGTCTCAAGTCGAAATAATCCGTCGATCAAACGCGGATGGCGTTTTCATTCGTTCGAAAATAAACCATATGGATGAAATCGATCGATATCGCTCAACGATATCGCCTAACAAAATCCACGAACGAAACCAAGCTGAAAATAAAACCAACGGAACCTACGCAACCTAGACTGCACACATATTCGTCCATTCAGTTTTGCGATCTAACCGTTGTAATATCCATATTGCTGTAATAGTAATAATAATAATAATAATAATAATAATAATAATAATAATAATAATAATAATAATAATAATAATAATGCGACGCCATCGTGAAAATGTTATACACGTCGTTACACGTGTATTCGCGTGTATATATAGAAATCGAAATTTCGAAGAACGAGTTGAAAACCGCCCTCTTTCTTCCGTTTCTACGTTTTCCCTCCGGGGGATGAAGTATGTCAGTCATGAACGAGTGGGATCGATGGGATCGTTGTTCGAAAGGGGTGAATAATACATATATAATATGTGTATGTATATATATATATATATAAATCAGATCCAGGTATGATGTAAAAGGTGCTACTAAATTGGCGGTACACGATAAGAGAAACGTGGTCGGTGACACGAGGTCAACAGGCCTTGGTGCTGGGTGCATACGTTCATTTTCGTGACGTCTCTCGCTCGATACCCGACCCCGGTCGATCGGTCGATGGAGGGGCGTGACCGCGTATTGGGGTGCAAGAAAAAAAAGAGAGAAAGAAAGAATAAAAGAAATTGGTGGTGATGATAAACACGATTGGATAAGTGATACTTCTTTTTTTTTCTTTTTTCTTTTTCTCGATGCTCTGTCCATCATATATAATCACTCCTCCTTAAACGAGTTCTCTGTCCAACTTTCGTGCGAATTCCCCTCTCGATAAATCTGTAAATTTTGCCACTCAAGCCACGTAGACTTCACCTAATTCCTAGATCTAAACGCAGGCACATACACGAAGATGCAGGGGAAAGATTTCGGAAAGTGGTGAAGACGGGATGCGAGGTCGCCCTGGATTTTCGTCATTTCACGATATTTTTACCAACCCTATTATTGCGCAACGCTTTTTTGAACTATTTCTCGTGAATCATTCCATTACGCTCCGTCAAGGATGAACAGCCCTTTTGCAACAATCGTCCATAAATTTCTCTCTCGAATCATCAGATTTTATTCGATTCGCCTTCGCTTCGAAAGTTTTCGAAAAATCCTTGAGAAATAAATTTCTTTCTTTCTCCCTCCGCTCGTTCTCCACGGCGACTTTGCATCCGACATGATCAAGCTACGGACTGGGAGAATAAGAGACAGAGGCAGGGATGTGAACGACATTTCGAAAGAACAGCTACGACTCTTCTAACGGATGAATTTACGTAAGGTATGCGAGATAACATGGCGGCGGCGGTGCTCGTGGAATAGTGATGACACAAATATTTGCTATGGTGACTGGTGGTTGCGAAACGGTATATATATATATATATATAGGATGCTACTAGAATAAGCGCTACTCTCAATATCGGCGACCGAAACGTCCAAAAGTTTAAATTAATAATTTAAAAAAAAGAAGAGAGAGAGAGAGAAAACTTTCGTCGAATCAATTTCTAGCCTTGAGAAACTTATGACGACAAATAAGAGAATTGAAAGTATTTTTCCTCGACAAGAAACAGAAATGAGTTCCCTTTCTTTATTTTCTCGATTGAATCGACAAGCGGGACAGACAAGAGTAGAAGGGCGCGTAGCACTCTCGTTTCGTTCTTTTCATGCATTTTCTCGCGATAACAAGGCGCATCGACAACCCTCCGCAGACAATAAAAACTCGCTAAGACAGTGAAACGTCTTGAAAACACGGAGCCCCCGACTTTGAATTAATCCGAGCTTCTGGACGTTTCGCAGATAGATAGACCGGAATAGGAGGACGCGCGCGTCCGCAAGCGCGAGGGTGCCGTGAAAGCGTGAAAGTGGAAGTAAACATGTGCGTTTTTCGTGTTGATACACGTGATTGAAATATTGGGCGATAAATATTCGTGTGTATATATACATATATATATATATATATATATATATATGCATGTATTATATTCTGGAACGTGTACTCTGTTCGTGTTTGAACGTGACTGTTTCTCGAAAAATCGGAAAGCGTCGTGAGCCGAAAAAGGTTGGGGGGGGAGGCTAAGGATACATCGACTACCTCGAATTGTTCTTTTTTTTTTTTTTGCTATTTAAAGTGACGATAACACAGATTTCTAACGTCGAGAGAAGAAACGAAGGGTTCGCGATACGCGTCGATTTACCGATCGCAACTCCGTCTCAATTTGTTTCGATTCCACATACCTGATTCGTCTGCGTTTTTTTTTTTCCTTTTTCTTTTGCGAAAATGCGAAGAACATTACTTTCGTGCGTTTAGGTTGGTGCGTAATCGAGCTAGGAATACACGCGGGATCACTACTCATTCTCGTAATTAATAATCGGTGGAAGAGATCGGTCGGAAAAATTCGTGCCGAGAAATCTAATTTTCACTTTCGCTTTGTTTCGATACCTGCGTACCTTTCGAGATACGCAGCACGATTGGCAATCTAACCTCGAATCGATCCGAACGGACGATAACATAACAAACGTTTCGAACGAATGTTTCGAAGCGACACGAAAGGATTTCGTCCGACCTCGCACGAATATTTCCGACTCGAAGGTTTTGTTTTTATCACGAACCAGCAGATCGTAATAAGATCCCTCCTCCCCGTCTACGGATAAGATTCCATAGACGGGTCATTCTTTCGGGAGGGAACGCGATATGCGGGTGTGCTCAGTCTCGTGCACAGTGAGGGGGAGGGGTTCGCGTTTTTCGGGTTATTTCTCCTCTCCCCCCCGATTCGATTCGTTTTCCCTTTCTGCCGGGCATGACAGATGCGTCAGAATGGCGCGGCACGTTGAATTATTATACGCGTAAGTGAAGGGTGTGTGCGTGTGTGTGGCGTTGACGGCGCAGGACGTCGAAGCGTGAAATGACGCGAGGGTGAGAGAGGGAGGAGGAGGGGAGAGGCGGGGAGAGAACAGAAAGCCACTGGCAGAAAGCGCAGTAATAAAATACTCTAAATACTTGCAAGCAAAACAACTACAGAGATAGATAACAACGGTGGGCGGGCAGCGAAACTTCAAGAAAGAGATAACAAAATGAGAGAAGAGAAATGGAGGAGAAGAAAGAAAAAAAAATAGAATGAGAAAGAGAGAAAATATAACAATGTCGATCGCGTAATTAGTAATATATATATATATATATAAAATGTGTGCACTCGCATCCCTGGAAAAAGTCGCGAGATGCGTGTGTACAAATGGTAATCGCGAATATACGAGCGAATAATTTCATGATATGTACATAATTACGTTGGATGAGAGTGGCAATTAAGAAAAAAAAGGAAAAAAAAAAAAAAAAAATAATCGTCGATCAGAGTGGTAGTGATACATATATATGTAGAGAGAGAATAATAATTATATATATATATGTATAATGAATAATGCCGACATGGGTAGAAATAGCTTAAGGACCTGCTTCTGGGCCATCGACTGCATCTGCTGGAACATGATCCTTTCCTCCTCTTTTCCTGGAACAGCAGAAAGCAACGAGAAGCTCTTGGGATGTCTGCTCGGAATCCAGATTTTCGGACGGTAGCTGTCTGCGTTTTACACGATTTAACACATCAATTTTTAAACATTTCTTGGCATTGGTTATCTCTTCGAGATTTTTTTTTTTTTTTTTTATGTGGGAAGGGGAGCGTGATTTTTCTTTTCTTTTCTTTTCTTTTCTTTTCTTTTTTTTTTTTTTTCCCTCTCTCATGAAAATCTCACAAGATGAAACACACTTCTTCCGGTTGGTTGCAGCATTTTTCGTCTTTAACAACAATAACAATAACACGGATAATCAACACGGTTACACTAGCTAGCTTACGCACGAAGAGCGTTATCCCAGGTGCAAAATATATTCCTCCGCCTCTCATCGTTTTAAAATTAGCGATCGTGCTCGAAATCCTTGAAACGAAACCGAAACGGATTACACGCTACAGTTTCTCTACGTTTCTCGAGAGAGCGAGAGCCCGGTCCACACGACGATGAAACTGTCACCAAGCCTTCCAGTATCTCGGTCACAGCGTCAAGTCACCGATATTTTCGTGCGTCCACCGCGAAACGTTGTTACGCAAATAGGTTCTCTCGCCTAGCTTCTCTCTCTTCTCACCATTTGCCGATTTTTACGCTACGCGATTGCGACGAACTTTTCCCACCGCGATTCTGCAGCGAGTTACTGCAGCGAAAATTACAGATAGAGACTACTGCGCGCGAACGAAACTCGTCTGGAATTGGCCGAATCTATCCCTCTTTGTATCCTGTTCTACGTGCACCCTCTTTACGCGCGTCTCGCAAGCTGTAAAACGCGTCGTCTCGCGGGATTTATATTATTTTCCCCGGAATTGGAGAACGCAACGAGCGCAGGCTCACTTCAAATCGCGCAACAACTCACCGATCATTCTCGTGTTTCGCACACGAAGGCTATCGAGCAAATCTTCGTGGAATATCGTTTAATCTTTTAATTATTCTTTTTCTTTTTTTTTTTTTTTCTATAGAAATGAGGAATATCGTTTCGCCCTTTTCTTTTCTTTTTTTTTTTTTTTCGAAGGATATTTCATTATTTCTTATTATTTCTCGTCTAAAGAGTCACGTGATGCTGCTAATCGAAACGAAGCGAATTTTTCGCATCGCTAGAATGTCGTACGTGATGCACGAGGATAATAAGTCTCTGCAGAATGATCGTACGTGTAATCTTGGCTAAAAGATGAAACACATTTAAGAAAGGATAACCGGAACGATCTCACAAAACTGAAGTGAATTGGCGCGTGAAAGTGTTCGTTGGAACACTTTTTAAATCGATTCTTTTATTCGAATTAAATTAGTCGAGTCGAGTTTTGACGATTTAAAGCGAACGACAAGAATTTCATCATCTTTTTCACTTCAATCTTGCCTCGGTCTGAAACTACCTGGAATGCCATTGTTGCCAACGAATGAGATGTTAATTAGTAAAAATGACGGTGTTCGTTTAGGAAACTAGAATTTGAATGGAATGCCTCACCCATCCCTTGTTTTGGAGCATCTCGAGCAGCTTCTTGATGCTTTCATCTCTAGCTTGCAGCGTCTGCTTCTGGGTCTCTATTCTCAATTCCAGCTCCTGTAAGTGGAAAGAAAGAGGAAAACGTTGGAATTGCGTTTTAGGTGGAACGCAAATTTCAACCTCGGCCGCTGAGAGTAATTGAGAAAAATCTCGTTTTTTCTCGCTCTCTCGTTTCTCTCATCTTACGATTTTCCAGATCCAATCGTCAAGAGAAAAAAAAAAAAATCCGGTCAACCCATCCGTTTAACACGAGACCTCTTTAACATTTTAAATCTCCACTTCTCGTCGTCGTCGTCGTCGTCGTCGTCTTTAACGCATTGACGATTTAAATTTCGATCGAGGATTTTTTTTTTTTTAAAGCGAAACACGACGGTTCATCAATTTTCGTCCACGATGTTCGTAATTGGAGGAGAGGAAAGGGTTGTTATCGAATCGAAGAATGGAAAATCGAAGCGAGGGGTCGAGAGTTTGGTTGCTTCATCGTAAAATGCTCGATTTGTGTTACCTCGCGTTGGTGGAGATAGCGCTTCACGCCCGTGTAACGAATTTAGACCGCGTTCCTTTGACGACAGAAACTCTATTAGCTTAGTAGAATTAGACACCCACTTCTACCTTCCACCCTTCCTCTTCTCTCATCAAAGGTTCCCTCGAAACGAAAAAACATTTCCGCGATTTTTCTAAAGATTCCTTTCTTATTCTTGGTTCTATTCAACTTCAACCAACTATTATTATATTCTCAAAGAAGTTTGATTCAATCGGCAATTTGATATATATAGAAATTATTTTATTCGGGAGAAGTAAAATAAAAGGTCGATCGATGAAAGAAACGAGCGAACAATATTCCGGTCGAGAAAAACAATCGAACGTTCGAGGGAGCGCGATTATTTCTCTCGTTTTCGGCGAAGCGAGCAAAGAGCAGGTTTAGCCGCGGGTTAAATGGATTTTCGGCCAAAAGCATGGCGGCCGAAAATAAATGCGGCCGGCTCAATGTTAAACGTTCTAAGTTCAATAAACGAAGGCCTTCCACGCTCGAAATACCACGACGACGATTCTCCTCCCTTCAATTTTATCCGCGCTCGAATAAATTGAATTTCCCAATCATCTCCACCTCCACGATTTGTCACCTGCCCAATTTTCTCTCCCTTTCTTCCGAATCCATCGAAAGAATTTACCTTCGCTAATTTATCGAAAGATCCGAAAGGTGGAGGAAGAAACGCGAGCGTATCGATACGCCCGGGCGTAATATTCGATATTAAAAGCTGTGGGGACATGCGGCCAGAAAGTGGCTGCATAATTTGGCCACTGGCCAAAGGCGACCAGTTGCTTCCAGTGCGTTGCACGTTTGACCTGTCTGTACGCGACCATTTGGCCTGGCCGACGACACCGCCGCGCTAACTAATTTGCCAGAATTTTCAATGACGATTCGTTTCCTCGAACCACTCTTTTTCCACTCGAATCGATACGCGAGACGTTCGAAATAGATCCTCCTCGGAGAAGTTTTCAAAGAAATTTCAATCGATTCGAATTTATCCCGAATCGATCGATCGTGAAACTCGTTCGAGCGTTTGAATCCCCTCGAATCATCATTGTCGTCCGAGCGTTGGAGCGAATCAAAGTGTAATTTTACCGAGGTAAAAAATCGCGAGGAGGCCGCGGTTTGATCGGCGTTTCGACAGGAAACGAGCGATTTAACAGGGCTCGTCTAATCTGCGAAACGGGCGCGGTTTGAAGGAGGGGCACCCGAGTCGTCGCGCGGACAACCGAAATAGACGAAGAGTTGTGTTGTTCGAGGTAAACGACCGATTGTCTGCCAGCTCGATGCTTCCGGAAATCTTGGCAACGGCGGCTATCAGCTTCCCGCAATAACTCCGTTAAGTCTGCCATCCAGTGGCGCCGAAAGCGATCCAACGAAACCGGCCGCTGGATCAATAAACTCCACGGTGGAAACACACCGGCCTCGTGTTGCGCCCTGGTTAAATTAGATCGCGCGGAGGTTAACGGATAATCTCCTTTTCGACAATTTACATCTCGACATCCTCCCACGTCTCTAAAAGAATAAAACTTTCTGAATCGCGAGGATTATTTTCCTGTTTTCAATATTTTCAATTAAAAAAAGAGAAAAAGGAAAAGATGTAGTGCGATATTATAATTATTTGAATTTCCATTCGTGAAGTTATACTCGTGGTTCTGCTGGATACAGTGGATGATGATCGAGCAAAGACCTTGATCGAAAATAGACTATTTGATTACACGTAGCTGGGTTATAGCTTATTTGCGCGAGGAAGATTCTTTTTCATTTCGACGAATTCTTTCGAGAATTTCGATATCGGGCACGAAGAATTCGATCGCGGACGAAAGAATTTCGAAGCGCGAGATAAAGAAAGAAGAAGGTTTCGCGGGATGTGGAGGCGGAAACGGAAGGAACGGGGTAGTACGGAGCGAAAAAGATGGCCCAAGGTTTCGTGATCCGCCTTTGCTCTCGTTTTCGCGCTTTCTATACCCATTATTCGCGATTATAATGATCTCTTGTTACGGTGGACGCCATTCTTCCGGCGAATTCCAATCTTTACGAAACCCGACCACGCTTCCATTCTTCCCCGAAAATTCATTATTTTCCGTGGACAGGCTCGTGAATCGATGTTCCTCCCTATTCTATATAGAAAGAAGAAAAGTTCAGGGTTAGGGAAGTTCAGGGAACGTTTCTCGGATCGTGGAGACGGCCGAGTTAAAAATAGAAACTGGATCTGGTATATTTCATTCTTTTCTTTTTTTTTTTTTCATTTCACATCGCGTCGCGATAAGCGAGGTAACTGGAGCGAGAAGGATTGATAACATTCCCCCTTTGGTGGAATGCAAAAGATTCGAGTTCGAAAGATCGTGCTACTACCACTATCATTATCATTAGTTTCTCCTCCATCGGAAGGAAACAGGCTTACCCTAATCGTGTCGCGAAGTATGGCGATCTCTCGCGTCAGATGCTCGTTCTCGTTGTACAAAACTTCCATTTGTTGCTGCATCTCGACGCTCGGCCCCCTCATCCGCATCCTCAGCTCCTCCTCCAGTTGGCGAACCATCATACTTTGTTTCTGAAACGAGAAACAAAATGAAAATTTTTAGATGGTGGACGGTCGTTGCGTTGGATGGTCGTTTGATAACAATTGGTTCAATAAAAAAGGCTTGGGGATATTCGCAATTGAAACGAAAAGTTGAAACGAAAAGCAAGAAAAGTCCAACGTTTTTCACCGTTGTTTTCTTATTGTTTTATCGCGATGATTGGGAAAAGTTGGACGTTTTCGAGAGACTTGTTGTTTCGACATATATACACGAGGTTAATTGCACATTCGAGTTACGTGAAACTACTTGGAGCATGAAACTGATAAGCGGATCGATAGAAACTCGTCACGAGCGTGAGCCTCGTTAACCCTTTCGAGAAAAGAGGTTTAATTATTTCTGTTTAAATAAATAAACTCTTCTCTCTCTCTTTTTCTGTCTCCACAAGTTAATGCAAAAATTGAAACAACAAAATGAAGGATCGCAAAACTTTAACGAACTTTAAAAATTCTGTTTTCTCTGTTAATTTTTCTTTTTTTTTTTTTTTTTTTTTTCCTTATCAAAAAGACGAAGGTTGTAAATCGTTTCACTCGTTCAAAACGCAATAGATATTCACGATGTGATGGAAATCTGATGATTTCAGAAACGCGATTAACATAAATTCTCCCTCGTTCGTTCCGAAGAATGACGAAACGGAAGTAAAACGGGCGGAAGGGATCGGGGCCGATCGCAAGAATTGAAAGAGGAATCGGTGACTGGAAGCTGGTTCTTTTTTCCACGAGCGCGCGAAACGTTTCAAAGTCGATATTTCTAGCGGAAGTTGACTCGCCATGCACGTACTCTTTGGGACCCGCGACTCGAGAAAGCTTTTTCTTGCCTTTCCAATCTTCTTTATACTTCTTTTTTTTTTCCGCCATTTTCCCCTACCCTCCTTCCTTTCTCGCCCCTTCTCTCCCCGGATGGATCCTTAACTAAATCACTTTTGACCTCTTTTCACTCGTTCTTCTTCTTCTTCTTCTTCTTTTTTTTATTTATGCAACTCAACGTACGTATTTCTCTTTAACGCTTTCTTAATTTTAACAATCTTTTCCTCCTCCCAGCTTAAGAGGATTCTTCTTAAAGCGCTTCGCGTCAGTGTCTTCCTTCTTTATGGAAAACTTCTTATAAAGAAGTTTCGAGCTTCGGGTTTCAAGATTTTCGGTTCGTTTCCCTTCCTCCCAACTTTCGATATCTCTATTATCTCTCTCTCTTTCTCTCTTTGTTATTCCTTCCATTCCCTGTTTTTCATTTCTTCCCCGTTTTTTTCGGCGCCTCTTCCCTTCTGAATTTCCCCACTCAACCCTGCTTCCATGGATATTGTTCCGGGGCGTTCGTCGAGCTCGTTAGACATCGTTAATGACGACACAAGCGACGCCATTCGGACAAAGGAGACACGAAAAGAAAAAGAAAAAAACGCAACCTCGCAACCCGGATGATTACGAGAGACGTGTTTCGACGTGTTGCCCCATTCGTTTCGCCCGAAAATCGAGATTTTCTTCCACACTTGAGATTCTCCACTTTCGACGGAAACGTGCCGTCCTAATAAATTGTTGAATTTCAAAACGGTATCGACGCCAATCGGATAACAATGATAAATAAACATTTCTTGACGATCCCTTCGATCGATTAAAATTAACCAACGAATTCCTCCAAGGAATTCGCGAGATCGCACGCTCCGCCTAGTTTCATTCTTCATTTTTCGCCGGTGTGCGTGTGCGACACAAAGTTCGGAGAGCCAAAGGGCGCGCGATGACGGAGCCGTTCGATACGATCGACCTGATTTCGCTTCGAGGCGAGGAGGAGGAACTCGACTCCCACCAGTGCCCGTGACGTCAGTCACCCCCATAACGAAATCAGTCCGCCAAGCCATGGCCGAATTCCCCTTTTCACTCCTACTACCCCAGTTACCTGCCCCGGATTTCTGTATCGTGCGTTCGCTCCTCCTTCCACCCACCCATCCCGTCCTTCCAATTTTCCAACCAACCTTTAAACAACCGTCAATCGTCTTCGCGATTACGTACATCGACGACGAATCTCGAAGATGAGGTTTCAATCCCCCTGTAATAAACTATCTTCTATTTTTTTATTCTCTCTGCGATCTAACACCAGAGAAATTCTCAACGTGCAACGTCTGGCGGGAATCCAATTTCGACCGAAACTTCGACCGAAATCGCTTTCTTGAAATGCGAGGGGGTTGCCCTCTTCGAGATCGTGTCGACGTGTACACGGTGTCGCGTGCTCTCGAAACGATTAGCCCTCGATTAACCTCCTCCTCGGGAACCCGATCTCCCTTCCTCCTTTTCTCCCTCGATAACCGTCCTCTTGGGGGGACGGGGGGGGGGGTAGTGGTGTGCGATCGGTATCGTCCATCGACACAGTTTACACAGCCCCGGCTATCGAACGCGCTCGAAGGAGGAGGAACGAGGAAGATGAAGCGGGGGTTTAAAGTTTAAACGAAGCCCCTCTTAAGACGAGATCCTATTAACCATCGCGTAAATCCTATCTCGCGATGGCGTTTCTTCTTACGCCGCCGTCTAACCCCCGTTGTGAAAACAACCTCTCCTTTCCTTACGCCTCCTTCCCCCCCCCCCTCCTCCTCCCTCCCGTGGGGTAAAGGGAAAAGGAGACAATTTTTGATTTCGGTCGAAACGAGTCGGATATTGGCGTTCCAAGCAGACCAATGAATATGGGATGTGGAAGGAATGGAGAAGGAGAGAGAGAATGAATCGATGTTTCTTTTTTTTATCCTTTAATACGATGGAACTTTGGTTAATAATGAGAAGCGGGGGAAAGAGAAGAGGAGTCAATGAAATATGGAGAAAGTGAGGTGAGATTTTTTTTTTTATTTTCCAAGCTCTTGATCGAGCGAAGAATGGAATTATTAGGAAGGATTAATGAAAAGTTGAAAGCGCGTTTATCAAGCTGTGACGAGTTGAGATTTTGAAAAAGAATAGACGATTTTCCGAAGAGCTTGGAGGAATCTTCCACTTAAAAGCGTATCCTCTGAGAAGCTCTTTTTCGTTCTTCTCCCTAAGGAACGAGGATAGGTTTTGAATAAAAATTTTATCGACGCTCGTAGAAGCGATTGGATTCGGTTTTTATCGTTGTAAGCGCTAAAGCGAAATGAGAGAGAAACTTCGAGGTGGAGACCTATAAACCGTTTACGTCTTTAATTAAAGTGTTTTTTCCTCGATGTTATCTTATCATAAATTTCCTAGTCGTAAAAAAAAAAAAAACGAAACGGTAAAGAGAGAAGGTAGACGGAAGAGTTTTCCAACAGCGCGCGATAACGAGCTTTCTAAAAAAAAAAAAAAAAAAAAAAAAAGAAGAATACGAAATGGGTCGTCAAATGTGACGCGTAGTTTTACCAAGAAACGGAGCAAAGTACGGGCGATTTTTTTTTTCTTTCTTTTTTATCCAGGGTCGGTGCACGATAGATCGATCTCTCCCCGTGGCTCGTGCATGTCGTTTAAATATTTTTCATCCTCCCTCTTCTCTTTCTATAATATCCCCGTCACACCGTAAATAACTATGAATTAGATATGCACGTGGTATACGCGCTCACCACATCGTAATATGTTTACGTTATCGTAATTGTTAAGCGACAAAGACGTCCAACCATTTTTCCTCGTGGCCATAAAATGCAACGATATAGAGGACGGTCGATACGTCACAATACGCGTGTACAAATAACGCGATAGAAATTTTATCGCGCGAAATATCGAGGCGAGAAGAGGAAAACACGATCGACTCATCGTCGTCGATGTTGTTTCCAAGTTGGATTGGAAAATTTTGAGAGAAACTTCGAAAGGGACCCACTTTTCAATTGGGTTGGGGGGCAAAGTTTCGCGAGCGCGTATCGGATAAAAATAGAAAAGGAGGCGAGATCGATCGTTCGATTCGTAAATAAATGATAGATCGAATCACGAGGCCTTCGTCTAAGTTTACTTTTACCCTTTTTACCTTATGCCATTTTAAATTATGCAGCCAGTCGTCTTGTCGTGTTTTTTTAGTCCTGAAACGAAACGTTCACCCTTTCTTTCTTTCTTTCTTTCTTTTTGTTTCTCCCTCGTAAACGATAAAATCCTCAACGACGCGGGCAGAAATCGATGACGTCAAGCGCGAAGGACAACCGCGCCATCCGATCCTGACCATTTAAATTCCCCTGACCTAAATTCCCCGCCATTCTCTCTGACCGAATTCGTGGCGAATATGTGGGTCATCCATTTGCCCCATTTGAAACCGACTGTTTCAACAACACCGCCACCGAGCAACGCGATCCTCATTCGACGGAGAAAAATTTACGACCGACACCCTTTATCCTCTTGTTATTAAACTAGACAGGGGCACGGGACGTTATTCGAGGAGCAAAGTTGTTGTATCGGGAGAAAAGTAGGTGAATAAAAATGTAAAAAAAGAATAAAAAGAAAATAGCCATTGATCGAGAAGAAAAGTGTCAATTTGCGCACGGATAGAAAATTGGCCTTGACGGTTTCCACGCTTTTCTTAGATTATTAACCGATAAAAAACTGTTGGTTCGAGGGAAAAGTTTTTATGGGGTTACGTCGGGCAAAAATCGATAAATATCATCCCGCAGAACGGATAATTCACGCGGTTGTGTGTCGTTCCTGATAAAAATAATCCTCTCTTTGCCTCCTCCCTTCGCTTCCTTCTCGACGATTAAAAAATCGACGATCGTTAAATCCGTTATAATATATATCGTTCGAAACGACGTGGCAACGAGGCGAGAATCTCCTCCCGCGATTTCTCCGCCGTGAAAGCTCAGCTTTATTCGATCTGTCCGAGTGGAGGAAGGGAGGGATGGCGAGGAAACCGTCGCGGTCACAATCGCGAGATAACCACGTTACGAAAGAAACGAGGAGCGTTTCGTGCCAGACGAAACTGCTTTTACGCCGCCCTCGCCTGGCAAACCTCGCCGGAAGATCGATCTAAGGTACGACGACCCCAAGAAACCAGAGAGCGGTTTCCACGTTTGCGTTGTAATATCGGGTTCTGCGCGCCCCGACAATCCCTCGCCAGGGAGGCCAGAAATTAAGGGAAACTCTGTTTCGAAGAAAATTTCTGTCGTTCCATGTTTCTCCATGACGAAGCTTCATTGTAAATCGAGAGTTATCACGAAAAGATCTCGCTTATGCAAAATTAACTCCTTACTCGAATTATTTTCATTAAAAAAATTCCTTCGATTGTTCATTCACGTTGAACAATAATTATTCGTTATTGCACAAATTAATGCGAACAGAGATCTCTTCCTCTTTCTCTCTTGGAAAGAATTCCGAAGAAAGGAATCGTAGTGTGGTATCGATGGAGACCGAGAGAGAGAGAGAGGGACATTCATTCATAAAAGAGATCAAACAGGGGCGGGGTAAAGGGTTCGAGTTACACGAAACTTTCAGAAACTTCTTCTTCTTCTTCTTCTTCTTCTTCTTCCTCCTCCTCCTCTAACGGGGGAGCTTTTAACGATCCATCGGGGCAGGCCTTGGACGATCGTGGCCCGTTCCACCGTGAAAAAGTCTTCCATCAAAGTGTCCGCTTCCCTCTGTAACTCGCCAACACCCCTTCCCTCCCTCCTCTCCTTCCCCCCTCCGCCCCCTCCACTTCGTCGAAGTCAACGGGGCTGTGTTATCGATCGACCGTGATACGACCCTTTGTCGTCCGCGTATCCTGAAATCCGTTTCGTTCTCGTTTCTCTTAAACGAATCCACGAATCCTCGAACAAGGAGAATGGGACGAAAATAGACGCGAAAGACGACACACGCCTTTCCACTCCAAACGAACCGGTCCTCCCAGGAATTCGAGCAATTAAAGGCTCCAAATCCGAACCGACGAAAATCTGCCGGAAACTAGTTTCCTCACTTTAGTTTCGCCGATCTCATTCGCTCGAGACCTGTTTCCACGATCTGTTGGAATCTTCGAGGGGGAGGGGAAAAATCGGCGGTTTTGTCCTGGAAATTGGCGAGTCTCGAGTCTCTTCTTTGGAGCGTCGCGCGAGGGAATTGGTATCTCGTTTCGAGAGAGGCGATGCCAAGTAGTCGAGGGAGGACTAGTTGTTTAAGTTCATGGGTTGTACGGTAAATCGCGAAAGACAATTATTTCGAGCGCGGCGTTGCTCGTGTTTAACGAACCTCCCCCTCGTTTAATTCCATTTAGTTTAGTTAGATTAGATCGGCGTCAAGATTAACTCCACCCAGACACCCTTGACTTGCACCCTTTCCCTCGTCTTTTAAACAAGCCGATCTTCCCTTCGACTTTATTCTTCTCTATCTGTCCAAGATCTGTCTCGTTTCCCAGAACTCGACAAGCAATATTCACGATATATACTTTATTCGAGTTTTCTGTTCCAAGGCTTTTCCTTTTCTCGCAATTTTCATCTTGGTAGGAAAACAAACAAATAAATCGGGTCGCTTTTCTTTTATGAATAGATTTAAATAAAATAAAATAGACTCGCGGAGGGAGCACACTTTGAACACGTCGAAAGAACAAACGGGAGGATCCCAGTTTCCTTCCACTCGCGAGAAAACGTATCAAAGGTATGTCTCGTTCTTTCTCTCCTGAATGAAAGTCTGAGTGAAAGAAACTGAGCGAAAGGGAGAGACGAGGTGGTTGGAAATACGAAATTACCAAGATTGGCCGGAGGGCGGCAAATTATCTCGGATCGGCAAAGATGACTGCGCGGCAGTAAAGGTTAACGAGGTCGAGGGAACGAGGAGGTATCGCGAATGAATTCTTCGCAAGGGGAGGGGAGCGGGGAGGGGAGAGAGAGAGGCAAGCGGGTCACCCCCGTGGCTCGACCTCGAAAAACGTGGCTCGACGTGGCTGTGCTCCGATTTTTCCGCAAGCTAGGGAGAAAATTCCGTCGATAGGGGTGATTCAAGAAACGAAACGCAACCTTCCCTCCTCCTCCCCCCTTGGAAACTACTGGTCGTAGTACACGCGTTTCGTGAGAGAAGATCGGTACGACGAGGCGAGTTGACGAGGGCGAGCGACGAAGAGAAAGGGATCGTTGGGAAGGAAGAGGAGGAAAGAAAGAAAATAGGGTCACGTGGAAACCAGGGGGAAAGGAGAGAGAGAGAGAGAGAGAGAGAGAGAGAAGGATGGACATGGTCGCGCGGAGGAGGAGGAAGATAAACTGGAAGAGGGAGGGAGGGCAAATATGAAGTGTGTGAGGGCTGTGCGAGAGAGGGAGGAGTGGAGAAGACAGGAAGAGAGATAAAGAGTGGAGGAGGGGAAACTAGCCAGGTTTGGCGGAAAGAAAACGAACGAGGGAAAAGGAGGCGAAGAAGGAAGAAGCGAGGAAGAGGTAGATTGTGGCGGAAGGTTCGGAAGAAGGAAAAAACAAAAGAGAGTGCAAGCGTGAGAAAGGCACGGAGAGAGTCAAAGGTGAGCGCGAGAGGGAGAAAGAGAGAGGGACAGAGAGAGTGGAGACTAGGGTGGTAGGGGGTGAGTTCATGCCGCTCGATAACGCCTCTGCTTCTGCTCCGTCATCAGCTGCTCCCTCTTTCTCTCTTTCTGTTCTTTCCTTGTTCTTTTACATTCTCTATCTCCGCGATATATATATCTAATGGAATGATTAAAATTAAGAATTAGTCGATTACCTCTTAATTTAACTTAAGACGGAGTCGGATAATTAACAAGTTCGTAGCAGAACGAAAATAAAATGATCATTTTATATTAAATCGGTCAACGATATTAGAGTCTCTTTTTTGTCTATTGCTATTATTGCATGCTGGAAAATATACATTTCTCCTTTTGACTTCCTTCCTTCCTTTTTTTTTTCATTTTTTGAACGCATTTGAACAAAGATAAAGGTAAAAAGAAAATGGATTGTCCAGGAGGGAACGTGGAAAATAAACGAGGAGCGAGCACGCATCGATGGTCCGTTTTATCTTCGATCCTGCGAGTTGACCGGCGAGTCGCGGGGCCAGGAATCGTCGTTCCGTGGCAGAAATCAAATGGTGGTCATGCATCACGCGTGGCAAGGGTAATTATGTTGCCCGTGTTGGAAAATGGGTCTGGCTCGGAATCGTATCTAACTCGTGGATCGTTTCTCCACGAGCAAAAATCGCCCGGCATTCGTGCGATCCTTCTTATCAACCGCATCTCGTTGACCCGTGTGAATGTATCGTGTGCATTCGATCGAACGAGCGCGCCCTTTAATCGAACAACATAGCAACGATTTACGTTTAAAAATTACAAGTTTTTTTCTACCTTTTTAATTATTAAGAATTATTAACTGACTCGATAAACAGTAATTCTTCTCCTCGATTTTGAAATCCATCGTACGCGTACCAGACATCGACATCGTTTGTTCCACCGTCGATTGGCTGCGAATTTCAAAAATGATTCGAGTTGCCGCTCGAAATAACCTCGTTCCCTTCGTCGACGGGATCGAACGGTTATCGGGAAAACGAAACGAGACGCATGAATCGTGCAAAAGCCGTCGTCGCGGGTAGGAGGGGAGGGGCAAAGTGAAGGTCAGCTGGGATCATCCGTCTATCTTATCGCGCCACATGTTGGCCCTTTTCGTTTGCCAAAGGGAGGGAGAAAAAAAAAAAAGAAAAAATAGAAAGGAAGGGAATAATAATTGAAATGTGTCGCCTATCGATGTTTCAAGGTAAAACAGCGAATCTGTTACGACGATACGAGGGAGATATATTTATTTTCAGAAAAAAGGGGAAAAAAAAATTCTAACGCTCCTTTTCAAGCCGAAGATAGTTTCGTTGCATGGAGTTTTTAGTGAATGGAAAGAAAAACGAACGGCAACATTTGTTATCGAACTTTTGGCATGTCGTCAACCATTAAGCTCGATGCATTTGCATTGGTTCTAAATCGACCACGAAGCGATATATATACGTATATACGATAAAACAAAAAAAGGAAGAGAGAGAGAGAGAACGTACCGAGTTCATGCATTAGATCGATTTTATAAACTGTGCGCGCTTATGTCTGATGAACTTCGATGGCTGACATACACGGAAATAGCCGTGAGGGTCATCCCATTAAGTAATCTGACATAGATTACGGAATCGATATCGAAGATTAATTCGCCCCATCGTCGTCGTAGCACCGTTTTAGTCGTACCTATCCTCCCGTGCCATTGTCTAAGAAAACATTTGAAGATCGAAAATAGATATGGATGTTTCTAAAAATATCCATCCATCCGTACGCGCTATACGGATAAGACAAGACACGAGACTTGCCTGCATCTCTTTCTTCTAAATTTAATCTACGCGATTTTATTTATTTATGGATGACTCGATAGTACGATTTTAAACACCGATTTCGAATAGACAGACATTTCGACGCGAAATTTCGACATCTCCGCGTTTCGAGGGATTTATTTTAAATTTACTGCGCCAAAAAGGAAGGTTCGAAACTCAAAAGCCTCTCCCGACCGGTCTCATCGTAATAATTTCGGCCGAGGAACACGAGGCTTGGAGTGAGTACGAGCCGTCTGAGCCGAGTCATCGTGACGCCCTACCCGTGTACAAATAACGGAGAGTGACACGTTGGAAGTCACTTCCTCATTAAAGCCGCAGCAAGCGCGCACATGCCTTCAAAGCATGATTTATAGAGGAGTTACGCGAGATAACGCGCAACTAGCAACTAAGAAAGATTATACGCGTCGGAATGAATTCGATTCGTGGAGCAGAAATTCGTGGAACGTTACTCTCTTCGTTACCTTTTTTTTTTGGATATTCGAGTGAATATTGAGATTAAGGGGAAGGGAGGAGAGGGAGAAATTCGAAACTTTGAATCAACAACATTAACGCTCCGACATTGAAATTAATGTTTTCAGAAACGTTCCTCAAAAAGTTGGTTAAAAAGATATTCGATCGGGCGAAAAATGAGAAATTGGCAGAGGCTCAGGGGAACGATTGAGTAGCGCAAAGGGTACACCGGGAAAGTTTTCTCTTCGAGTGGCGGTCGAAACGGCGAGGTCAGCTTTAGCAGAAATATTAAAGTTCTTTGTTCAGGGGGATATTACGTAGATACTCTCTGAATGGCGTCAGATGGTGAAACACGGTTGTTGGAATGCTCCGATAAAAAGCGCGAGATACGTCACATTTCTATGCAAGGTTATCGGTTTGTCGAGGAACGGATTGTCGAGGATGCGATAAAAATGGACGACATCGAACACCCTCTGACCTCCTTCTTGTAATATAACATTTCCATTTCGAGATCCAAAATCGTTCCTCTTTCTCTATTATTGCATATTGTAATTAAAGAGATCTTCTTCTTCTTCTTTCTTCTCTTTTCTTCTTTTTTTTTTTCACGATTGGAAACGTTCTCGCGAAATTACGAGCGATTCAACATCGGGGCAAGCAACGTTATCGACGAGGGGCAAACTGTAGGTGGGAGGTGTTGGGCCGGATCGATCGATTCATTTTCGAAGTCCACGAGAGACACGTTTACTCTGTAACCCCGTGGAACAATGCGGTCGTGCCATAGTTAGACCGCGTGGCATAGGTTCTCGCTAATAATCCGCCTCGATATATTTAGGCCGATCGATATAGACGGATATGTATGCGCCGCACTTTACGCGGACCTGTACGCCACTTTCACGAACAGCTCAACTCCTCTTGCCGGCCGGATGATTGTTTCGCCTGTGGGGAAACTTGCAATGCCGCTCCTTTCCACACACATATACACACGCATCCTTCTATCGCTCTTTCTTACGATTCTTCTACGTTACATTAACAGGGATATTATAATTTCTTGAAGTTTCTCGAGTTTGTTTCCGGTTTCGAGTTTCCGGAGATTGAGAGAATTTTGGTGGAATTTCGGGGGAGGGATCGATCGAGAAACTAGAAATGGTTGGTAAGCAGATCTCAAAGCGGATCGTTTGGGCGAGAAGGAAGGGAGATTCGCGTAAAAAATGGCACAATGACAGTGTGTCGGGCCACCTAATTCAGACTTAGGCGCAAAAATAATTCGGGTTTCTGGGTTATCGATTCGAAGGAAAGGAGAACCGTGTTCCAACGGGCAATATCTGTTCCGTCGAATAATTTTTACGATATTCGATAACATTTTTTCAACTTGATGCCAACCTTCGTTAATTGTTCTTCTTCTTCTTCTTTTTTCCCCTCGCATCGTTTATCGGCATCTTCGAATTATTGAAATACTGGTAATAATTTCCTTTGCACGATCCTTGGAACGATCGATTCGATAAATATTGAAGACGGATAAAGAAATAGGACGAGATACGAAGAATATACATATATATATATATATATAATCGAGAAGATTACGCGAGGGGTGGAATTAGCATAGAGAAAAGGAGAAGAACGATTCAGTAGGAATGATAATGTTCCACGGAACGAATCTCCATTTCCAGACGATATTGTATATCGCGTTTTACCCGGTAAACGCTACTAAATCCCTCCGGTATTCAATTCGAAAGCGGCGAGGACAGATGGGTATGCTCGTAAAAGGAAAGCTAACGAGGACATTCGGAATCCGTTTTTCTCGAAACAGAACTTACGACGATTCCGTTTTACATTTTAATAAGGAGGTGGAGGAATTGATAAAAATAAGGAGGAGGAGGAATTGATGAAAATAAGGAAGAGAAGGAATGTCAGTTAGAAAACTGGATGCCTTCGCGTCTGCGCGGAGTAAGAAGGGGAGAGGGGAAAAAATAGAAAGAGAGGAGGGAAAGGAAGAAAAAGGAACACTCGAAGAAGAATTGAAAAGAATTTGTGAGATGCGCGACGAAAGTGCGCAACAACGAGTCGTGCGAATATTTGTTTCCCTTTTTCTTCCTTTCTGGATTCCGTCCAGAGTTTCCGAATTAATAATCGATAGTAATTTTTCAAGTTTGAGAAGCGGGAGAAAGTTGGAAAAGTTCGCCGGAAGTTCGTCGTGGTTCGCGATTCGGTAAAAACGAAAGTTGCAAGAAATGTGATTCGATCCAGGGTTCCGTTTTCGGTAGACACGGCGCTGAGACGACAGCTGCGTACGAGATGAATTGGAGCGGCGGTATGCAACAGCGACCATTAGAGAGGCCACTTGAGCGACATTAAATTATGAACAGAAGCCCGGTGGTCAACCGGTGGTGCGGTGGTTTATTTCCCTCCTTTCGTGTCCGAATCAATTATCTTCGTCCCTTCTAACTATAAGGGGATAATTAAATCCCTTTTATTAGAAATTCGAGTGGATGGAAATTCTCCGCGTGATAAAGTTTTACCTTGGAACGTTTTAGAAAAAGTTGAGAAACTCTCTCTGTCGAGATACGAGATGATCGTTGCATCAGGAGAACGGAAACTCGAAAATTGATGCTAAGAATTCGGAGCGATCAAATTCTTCAAGCGTTGACGATATCAGAGACTCAATTTTCACATCTGGACGTAACGATAGCGAATAAATATGCGTATAATCTTGAAGTTTCTACTCGACGAATCGACGACGAATAATAATCTCTCGAAGAACATTTTCGAAAAGCCTCGATAATAATCATCGATTCGAGGGATAACCGATCTGTAGCCCGTATGTTAACCCGACTCGTTAGCGAAGTCGTCCCGAAATGATACTCGATCGGTCGATTCAACGACCACCGTTTCTTTCATCGCATGCCTCGGTCGCTTTCCACGACGAGCGCGACACGGTTCTCTCGTGGCCATCAGCAACTAATTTTTCATTCACCGGGAACCGTGTCAAGTGAGCAATTAGATCCGAGGGCCACCCCTTCCTCCTCCTCCCCTCGCCCGCTATTCGCCGTGACAAACGCAGAAAACGGCGTGGCAAACGGAATTTTTAATACCACGAATCCCGCTAACGTCACGGATCAACCTTCGCCGATGCATTCTTCGGATGCGCCGTGCACGGATTCGTTTTTTAATATTTCAAACGTTCGAATCGACGATGGGATTCACCACGATGCAATTGATCAAAGATCGAAGATAAACGGGGGGAAGGGGATCGAGGAGAAGTTAAAATTATACCGACGAATCGAACCAACTCTATATCGCCCTTTTATTCTTTTGGTGTGAAAATGGAGAGAGAAAGAGAAAGAGAAAGAGAGAAGAGAAGAAAAAATTCGTTCGTTAGCGGTAAACGTGACGCGAGTTTAATTTCCGTGGTTCTCTGAGTTTTTGGCGAGAGAGAGAGAGAGAGAAGGATCAGTTGGCGGAACGATAGCATTGCAAAAGTTCCACGCCATTTTTTTTACGGCCCACTTCCTGGTGTACGCCAATTTCGCCGGCATGACGCGAGTCGCGTATCCGACAGAAAAGGAAAATTAATTTCCCCTCTCTCCCTTTCCAACCCACTTAAACTACTTTCCACCCTTTTTAACGCGTCTTTTTTTTTTTTTACACCTTCTGCGCCAAAGTTTCCGATATTAATTGCATCGGGGAAACGAAATATCAATGGATCGATACTCGTTTCAAAGCTGGCTGGTGGAACGGCTCGGTCAAGAAGTCAAATTTTCAAATTTTAAAACTTTTAAATTTTAACTTCGTAATCGGATTGTAATAAATAGCGAAATCTCCTATCTGAATTCGCATAAACGGACTTTCTAATGCCAATCTAATACACAACTATCGACATATCTCATCGCGTGTACAAACCCTTTCTCTTCTTTATACCGGTTCAAATTGTCAAATTGGAAAATTGGAAGAACCGCCTTAATCTCATCTCGTTTTTCGACTCGTCGATTTCATCGCCCATCCACCGTGCCGAATCGTCGTTTTCGCTCGTGGTCGGCAGGGTGTGCCCGAAATTACGCAACATCGTTTCCATTCTCGCGCGGGGGAGCAGAATGGGGGCGAGAGCGGCCAACACGCGTGTGTTTGTCGCGCAAGAATCGCGCGTCTATCGCGATGCCAGACGCCTGGATAAAAAGGAGTAAACGTGGGCAAACGGCCAGAGAATCTCTGAGAAACCCCTCTCCCCGAGATTCCTCCGCTCTCCGTCGATGACTCATATGCACAGCCATGGCGTGGCCAAAAATACGCTCCTCCACGCTCGCCACGCTGACGAACCGTGACGGAAGGATTGACGAACGGCGACGATTGGCTCGGACGGATTGATTCGATGGATAGGAAAAGTAGGTTGGAGAAGAGGAGAGAGCCTTTATTGGGACGAGATTGAGATCGATCGAGGCGAGGCGAGGAGAAATGAAGATATTTTAAAGGGTCTGCTTTTCATTTCTCTCCTCCCTGTTTAAAGAGTTTCGTGAAAAATATGAAATATAATGCGCATTCGCTGCCATGACGATGATCGGGTGACAGGCTGTAAACATGCTAAAGAATAGGAGGAGAGAGGGAGAAAAGGTATAAAATTCGATGGTGGATAGTACTAGGAGAGGGAAAATAATTCTCTTCTTCCCGATCGAACGACTCGTGCGTTTCGTTTTCGAATGCCCGCTCTCGAAAAATTGATATATATTATTACGCTGTCGCGAGTTGTAGCGGCTGTTCTCATACCGAGCGACAAACCAAGCGCAACGACCAAGAAAATTAAACGGCTCGATTAGAGCCGTGCTCACGTGACGCTCGCTCGTAATCGAACGAGAACGTGTGACGTCTTCGCACAGACGTAACAACCATGCTCGTTCGATAAACCTTTCCCTCCCGTGTAAGAAGCTGGAATTTCGAGGAAAAACATCGGGTTTCGCGTGGAAACGAGAGCGGCGTCTATTCGTGATATACTTCGGGCCACGATATTATATAAATATGCGACGGGCTTCGCGAACAGCTAACATATTGATCCATCCGTCGTCCTCGAAGGTAATGCGTACACGTCTCGTTTCGAAGGAAACGAAGGGCGAAGAAGAGCTTTCAGTGGGAGCTGAAACTCGACGAATTCGAGTCGCGGATTGCCAATTCGTCATCGATTGCCATCGTTAATCGACGCGACGTTAATCGAGGGATTTACACGCGTTTTGCACGATCGTCGTTTCGAAACGTTTGAATTCTCGTTTGATCGAACGTTACGGGGGGGGGGGGTTGATCATCGAACAATTTCGCGTTGAAAATATCGGGTTGAATTGTTACATCGGTGGCTCCCCCTTCGCGTTGCATTTTTAGCCAATCAATAAGCGCGTCTATTTCGAAGCGTGGGAAAAAAAAAGAAGAAGGAAGGAAGGAAGGAAGGAAGGAAGAAAGGAAGAAAGAAAGAAGAAACGGGCGATTAGAAAGTAAGTGGATCGATAAGTTTTTTAAAAAACGTTTTTCTAAGAGTTTTGGGAATCGGGATCGGCGGGGATCGCGATCTCTCGACGATTATAATTCGTGGAATTTGGAAGAGAAAGGGGAGGAAAGGGAGAAAAAATTTTGGGAGAATTTCGCGGCGCGCAAAGATCGATCGAATCGAGCGGAAAGAGAGATTGTCGTTGATCATGGTAATCGGTTCGACCTAAATTGTACTCGCGTGGCGGACGCGAAAACGGGTCACGGATATGGAGCGCGGCGAACGTTGAATCATGGAAGGGAAAAGTTCTGGCGCAAAAGCTTCGTTCACAACGGTGATTTTATTCGCGCGACGAAGAAAAGGAGGAAAGAAAGAAGGAAGGGAGGAAGGAAGGAAGGAAGGAAGCGATGGCGGTTAAGAAGCGAGAAAAGAAAAATCCGCAGTCGACTGACCTGATTCTCGGAGCTGAGCAGCTTCAGCTGTTCGTTGATCAGGCTGTACTTGGAACTCTCCTCTTTTCTCAATGCTCTCTCCTTCTTGAGCTCGGGACTCCAGAAGGTCTTGATGCTGTGCATCGAGCTGCCGAGCTTTTGGTTCGTCAGCTCGAGCTCCTTCTTGAGGTTCCCGAGCTCTCGTTGGAGATCGTTGTTCTGATGTTGGAGTTCACCGATATAGCCACCGCTGTCGCGCAGCATGTGCGGATTCGGGCTCTGTCTGGCCGATCTCGACCCGTAAATCTCATCCTCCAGGTAGAGTCCACGGTCGCGGCTACGTTCACGGGGATCGCGTATCGGCACGAACTCGCGATCGTGATCGAGGATACCCGCGGATGCACGATCGAGGCTGGTGTACCTCGCCGACATGCCCGCCGAGCTGGACATGGCGGGTCTCGAGGCGCTTCTGGATCTGTGATGTCCGCCCCCACCGCCCCCGGTTGACATACTCCTGCCCCTCTCCTCGAGCATCACGGGACTGGCGAGGTCCTCGTCGCGGGAGTAGTACGGACTGCCCAGCTGATGGTGATGGTAGCTCCCGTATCCGAGGTGCTCCGGCGAGTTGTTCCCGCTACGAGTGCCTCTCTTCCGACCCAAAGGACTGCCGCGACCGCTCGCGTAGCTCCTCGACGGGCTACGGTCGACCGTGGGTAGCTCGCCCACGCGACGACCGCTTCGAGGCGAACGAGTACCGCCTCCTGGCCCGACCACTCCGCTTCCGCTCGAGTACGGATCTCGCGACATTCTCTCCACCCGATCCCGATTTTATATTATATCTGATTCTCACTCTTTCCGTCTCTTCCTTCTCCCACGTTTCTTCTCCGATAATTCTTCGATAGTCTCGCGCGCGCGCGCGCGCGCGCTCGTGAGTGTGTACGCGTGTGTGATTCGTTAAATCGTTTTTCCTTTTTTTTCTTTTCTCTTTCACGAGTTGTTACGTATCTCTTTCTCTACGATTCTTCTGTCCTACGCGAATCACGTTGTTGATCTAACGTCGCCTCTCGCGAACCAGCGACCAGCATGTCTCTCGCGTCTCTCGTTTTCGATTTCACGTAGCCGATCCGTCGCGATTTTTCTTCTATGCCACCACGGTGTCCGTCCAATCGAGTCCAACAGATCCACCGATCTTCGACGCAACGTGGTCCCGACGTGGTACGACGACGACGACGACGACGACGACGACGACGACGATTCCTCTTCTACTCTACGCGGAAACGTTGGTCGACGAGTGGCGAGCATTGACGACAACGCCTAACGCGTCGATCGACCAGAGGTCCGAAGATCGATCACAAGTTTCATCGGTTCTCCGACGAGATCCACCTTAACCGGTTCTCCTTCTCTCTTTCTCTCCCTCTCCTTCTCTCTCCTTCTCTCTTTCTCTCCGTTTCTTCCAGCCAAGGTTCCTCCTCCACCTTCCCGCTGGAAGAGCCGTGCCGCACGCGTGGCTCGTCCCGTGTATGCGTGAGGTCACGACCCTCGTACTCGACGATCGATCTTTGACCTTCTTTCACCGGCGAACCCCATCGAGTGGAGATGGATAGAGATCGAGGGGGAGAGAGAAAGGGAGGAGGAGGACGATCCCGTCTCCGCGACGAATCCGTGCTCCACCGATATCCTCCTTTGTCTTCCTCTTCCTCCTCTTGCCTCTTCCGATCTCTCTCTCTTTCTCTCTCCTCTCTCCCTCGCCCTCCGTCTCGCGGCTCCTCCACCGATACGAGACGATCTCAACCGTGGCTGGCGGTGTGCGCTCGTCGCGTCCGGCCAACGGGGAGAACCGACAACTTTTCCGCGACCGCTCTCCTCCTCTCCCTTCCTTCCGCCGACACGGGCGAGCAGGCCGGTCGGGGCGCGTGCGTGCGTATTTTACGCGCGTCTGTTTACCACCCCGTGCGTCTACACGCGCCGCGGCGTTCCCGTTTCGCGAAACCCGCACCACCTCGTCCACTCCCTCCTTATCGATCTCATCCTCGCGTCTCTTCTCTCCGGTCCGCTCGTGATCGTATCTCGCCTCTCGCCTCTCCCTCTCTCTCTCTCTCTTTCTCTCTCTCTCTTTATATATATATCGTTCTTCCTCCTCCTCCTTCTCTATCGTTCTATCTGCCTCCTTCTTCTCTCGTTCTCGTCACCGAGTACCACGACGACGACGACGACGACGACGACGACGACGACGACGACGACGATCAACAACCGACCGAACCGACCTACCGCCCGAACCGCCACTATCCACCATCCACCACGACTCGACACCGCCACACCACTTCCGTGCACCACTCTCTCTCTCTCCACTCGCTACCGCCACCGATCTAGCCACCACCTCGCGCGCACACCTATGTATTATGCCCTCTTTCCCTTTCGCCCTCGGGCTCGCCCTCGCCTCGCCTCGCCTCTCTCGTCTTTCCCTCCGCGCGCACGTATACACACACGAGCGCCCGCGCACACACACACCACCACCACCACCGCCACCACCACCACCGATCGGCACACACCCCTCTACGAAAACGCGCGAGGGAGCGTGGCCGGTGCGCGCGAGAGTGCTACACGCGCGAGCTCGATGGACGCCGCTTTTCCTGTTTTAACAACCGGCTTTTTCTCTTTCCGTTCCAGCGATGTTTCTCTCCGTGCACGAGTCTCGAGCACGGAGTCTGATCGAGTCGAGATCACGAGACACGCCGCAACACCACGCACTCACCGGGACTAAACTGTAACCGCGAGCGAACCACCCTTTCGCTTCACCCGTCGTCGCCGGCTGCCTCCTTCCTCTTTCCTTCTCTCCTTCTTCTACTCGTCTCCTTTCCGCTTTCCTTTCCACCTCTCGTAGTATTCGCTCCGTCTCTCTCTCTCACTCCTTCCACTCGGCTCTCCAGGCAACCGGCTCGAGAACGACGTCGAGCTCGCTCTTTCTCCGTCTACTCCCCTACCCCCGTGCCACACGAGCGCGCCGGCCTCGTGTACGCACGCCACTACGATTCCCACCACCTCTACCACCGGCTCTACTACTACTACTACCATCACCACCACCACCACCACCGATTAAGTGGACCGCGTCGGCAGCGCCTCGACGTCGACGTCATCGACGTCGTTACGACGGACTACTACTACCGCGGCCACGAGCATCACGCGTCGCGTCGTCCTCGCTCGATTCCTCGCGCTCGACCCCCCCCCCCTCCGCCGCCCCTCCCAAGCCCCCCCATCGCGCTCCCTCGCCCCTCCAGCGCAGATCTGTGACGTAGAGCGCGCGCACGGATCCATGCAGCGTCGATTCCACGGATGATTTTTCGACCACCGCTTTTCCAACGCTTTTGTTTGCCTATCCGCTCTTCCCATGGATAGAAGGGGAGCGGCCTCTAATGGGAAAACTTTGTCCCCCATGTGGAATTCTCGAACCGAGATTTCGTCTCCTCTTTTCCCTTCTCTCTCTCTCTCGAGAGAGATTCAAACGATTTTTCTCTTCCTCTTCCGCCTCCTTTCTTCTCTCCCCCTCCACTTTTCTTAAAGAGGTCGAAATTTGTCGCCGGGTGTATGAGAGGAATTTCGATTGGAACGATTCGATCTTTGTCGAGGATGAACGCGAGAATGAAAAATTCACGGGGGCAGATTTATGGGTGGATTAATCGACGATTGTACGAGGATCGATGCGTTTCTCCCTGCGTGGGTGGGAGGAGAATCTTAAAAAGAAAAAAGGAAGGGAAAGAAAGAAACGACGAGAACCGACACGGAATTCGTTTCGTTGCGATTGTCAATGGTTCGTGAATGAAGAGTCAAAGGCTGACAAACGCAGCGCCGGATCGAGAGTAGCGGCCAATCGTCCTGGGCTCCCCTATCCAAGAACGAGTATCGATTTTCGTTTCATTACCTATTTTTTTCCCATTCCGTGGCCATTTTTCTTCATTTTTCACCTTCAAGCGGGAAAATATGAAAAATTACACGAGAAGCAGAAAACTCGAGTTTAAACGTATAAATCGAAATTAACGTTGCGAAAGTTTTCGAGTATCGAAGGATAATTTTCGATAGATAAAAAAAAAATGTGAAAATCTCTTTCGATATGGGAAAATTTTCGATGGAAACGTGTCGAGGTGGCGCCCAAGATTGGTGACACGTTCCTGGATGCACGTTCCACTTCGCAGTCCCTCGTCTCACCCCTCTAGCGTCCGCCGACCCGGCGTACGACATCGCAATCAATGAAGCTACGATTCACCGACCAGTGCCGTATCGCGCTCTTCCCTACTCTTACGTTCCCATTTTCGCACAAACCGGAAATACTATCGATTCTCTCGACGATAATTTTGTAAAAAAAAAAAAAAAAATAATAATCACTTCGTAAACCTCGATAGAAGAGAAGAATCGTTGGTTCCAAACGTTGTTTCTCTCGTGAGATTACGATTAAGAAAGAGAATGAGAAAAACGAACGTTTCTCTCGAATCGTAGAGCGAGCTTCATTCGAGATCGAACGAATAAATAATTCTCGACTCGTATCTCTCTCTCTCTCTTTCTCTCTCCTCCTCCTCTCTCTCTCTCCTCGCCCCTTCCACGTTGTTGCGAGTTTCGTATCGATCCCACGCAGAATTTGGGAAATCGTGTCGTTTCTCGGTCGAAGCGAATTTAGAGCGAAAAGACGCGCGTGGAGAAAAGTTAGGGATCGTTGTCACGAAGGGAACGCGCAAACTCGCGTTTTACGATCGGGCTTCTTTAGCAACACGGACTTTCTTCTCCGCGTTTTTCATTCCATCCTAATCTCCGCCGAGGATGGACCCTTCTTCGAACTCGTGTTTACTCCGAGGGGGCCACTTGGAATATAGAAAGATCCCCAGAGAGAGAATCCCTCGTCAGACATTGTCCATTGATACGTTTTTTTTTTTTTTTGATATCGCGGATGATCCGTGAAATTAGTTTCCTCCTTAGTTCGGATTGATATCGGTTCAGGAAATATTTCGCTTGGCGAAATAGAATAATATAGATTTTGTTTACGCGTCGAAGAGATAAAAAAAAAAGAAAAAAAAAAAGAAAAGAGAGAAAATGACGTTATTCGAGAGTAATCGCGATGATCTATCAGCTATCGCGAACTCTCGGTGCGATCGTCGACCTTTGCACTTCGATGCCTCGCCGCCTCGATATTGGCCAAAGATAACAGCATCGGTGAACTTCATTCCCCAATTAATTTAGACATATGATAAATTACCACTCCCCATTCAGAGGGGATTAATTTCTATCGTTATTTGAATAATTTTATTGTTTTATTTTCGAAGCGTTTATTAGCTCGTAATTTTAATTTTTAATTTCAATTAATTTCGTTATTCTTAAATATCACGGATATTTCGGCCGCTCGTTGAACGACGACCGATACAAATATTACCGATTTTGCATTGGGAAATGGAATTTTTCAATGTTTCGTAACAACGTGCAAGAAGATATTAATCCACGATCGCTTATTGAAATTCTATCGGTGCGATAAGTAATGAGACATTTCTTTGCCTTAACGCTTGGATCGTGTTATTTCTTACGGCGATAAACGAGCGATATATCTCTTCGTTACATCGGACGTATCGTCGATTAAATCAGGGGGGAGGGAGAGGGGACATCGTTCGATCTCGTATATTTTGCGGTACGATCGCGTTACACAATTACGATAAAAGATCAATCTGAAAACGTCTGTCTTCACCGGCCGAAATTGATTCGCCAATCTGATATTTCACGATTGCTCGATTTAGGAATAACACGTCTCTTCACGCGATACCTCAACCGCGTGTATACCCTACGTCCACTGCTAATTGCTCGAATTTGTCGTTACATCCCGTTAAAAGTGGAATGTCGCAAGTATGAGGTTTCCTCTCATTTCGTTAACAAGATTATCCATAACCATCTTCCGAGGAAGAGTAGTAGGTTCCCCCTCCCCTCCTATAGAAGTTCTACTCGAGTCGCAGACTTTTAACCTCCTCCCCAGTTCCTCAAACCCTACTCTTAAACTCTCTCTCTTTCGAACGAAAGATAAAAAAGATCCTCTTCTACCCAAAGAGAAAAAGAAGAAAAACGGGATCCACATAAATCGAGCGATCGAAAAATAATTTCGATTTGTCTCGTTGCTTCCACCATCCATTCCACCACCCATAAAAATTCCAACGCGGTGTCAACGTTCCATTAACTGGATTGAAGAGACTCGCGGTCGGGAGAGTCGGCCGGCCGGTCGTCCACACGGGAAAAGAAGCTCGTTTAAGGACACGGTCGAAGCGTGGACTGGTTGTTCCCACTTGACCGTGAGCACGCCGCGCCAGGCGAAGTGATGAAAGTTAAGTGGCGCGGTGTAAGGTCGTTACCACTTTCGTTACCGTACGCGTCGTTCTCCGCGTTCAGTAGACGATGACCACTCGCTGGCGTCGCATCGTTCCTTCCACCGTCCGATACCTGCTTCTCAGAAAGAAGGCATCGATCGACATGGGGGCAGGATGGGTCTGTTCGTGTCTGTTGATCGTTCTTGCCTCCCAGGGGGTGAACTCGTTGAACCCGGACGCCGGCCCCTGGGTGCAACCCACTCACGGCGAGCCCTGGCCGATGCCCAACCACCGCCACGTGACCGATAAGTTCTATCTTCTACGAGCCTCGACCTTTCAGTTTAACGTGAGTAATTGAAGAGAACGATCTCGTGGGAAGGATTCTATACATACGCGCGTCTGTATGCCGTTTTTGCCGAGAGAGAGAGAGAGAGAGAGAGCTTCCCATCTCAAACTCATCGTTCTTGACTTCGAGAACGAACTTGTGCGAATTCTCCGCAATTCCTCAATAAGTTTTATCGTCAATTTTTCTCGAAACGCAACGTTTTTCCCGAAACGAGCGAGGGGATCACCCTCGAGAGATAATATATTCGATAATTATTCGCGCAATAATTATCTCCGGCGAGAATTTAAAAAGAAGATACTTGTTTTTTTGACTAGAAAAGTAATAGCTTCGTTATCTCAGACGTTCTTCTTCTTTTTTTTTTTTCTTTCTTTTATCTCAAATTATACTCCAACGTATCCGCGTTTGCTAGATAGCTCTGTTTTATCTTCCCGTTATCTTAACGATATTACGTGTTCACGCGCGCGTGACGCGCAAGAAGAACGCCGAGTCAGGGAATTCCTGTATCGATTAATGCTTTTAATTACCGCCGCAATTAAAACTTGTTGTTATTATTATTATTATCAACGAATGAAGCAATGTATCGCGAAAATAATTTATCTATTTTTTTCTTCTTTTTTTACAGGTAGTGGGGAAAACGTGCGATATCGTCGCGGATGCCGTGGAGAGGTACAAGGCGATTATACTGACCGAAGCGCGAATAGCGAAAATTTCGTCTCAAGGGCACACGAGATCCCAAATAAGGGACAACACGACCATCACCGATACTCTCAACACATTGAATATTCATTTGAGGGAGCCATGCGAGAAGGATGGCAATCATTGGCCCTATCTAGGGATGGACGAATCATGTGAGTCGTTTTCGGAAATTACGTTTACAAGCACGGTTGTTTCTGATAAAATTGAACGACTCGGTTGGTTCTTTAGCTTTCGCGCAGCTGGTGAGCCGATTAATGTCAATGGGTTACGCGAAATGACATCATCATCATCATCATCGTCATTTTTTTTCTCCGATTTTAACGCACTGATCGTTCCAAACTCGATACGATTGAATAAAAATATTGTTTCGAAAATGTTCGGAAATAGTAAGGCGCAGAGGATTAAACGGAACGATTGGAGCGACGCCAATTTTGTTATGAAACTTGACTTTTTTTTTTTCTTTCATCGAGCTCGGTCAAATGACGTTCGAGGTCGAATCGAGCGATTAGAATTAGCATTTGGACATCTTGCGCGATACACGTCCCGCGATTATTATCGTATTTTTTTCTTTTTCGTCCAAGTCTTTCTTTCCTCCTCCTTCGATTTCTTTTTAAACGAACAATAACGACGGTCAACTATACATAACCGACATAAGAATCTACAATTGCTGTTCCACGAATTGTTGTTCCGGTTACTCGAATGCCGGCGGATTTAAGAAGGATCGATCGATCTTCACCGATCGAAAGGGTTTAAATTTAAACTCGATTGGGAAATTGAACTTTTTCGCAGACAAGCTGAACATAAACGAAACATCCACGGTGGATCTGTTCGCGAAGACGGTGTGGGGGATTCTTCGGGGACTGGAGACCTTTTCTCAGCTCTTGATCCCGGCCGGGGATGGATCGAACGTGAGTACGAGTATCAAATTGCCATAAATAGTGCACAAGTGCATACATCGAGGCGTTTCTCCCCAGTTGAAGATAAGATGCCAAAGTATCGTGGATTTCGCCAGGCTGCCGCACCGTGGACTCCTGCTGGACACGTCCCGCCATTACCTCCCCATCCACGACATACTGCTCACACTGGACGCCATGTCTTACAACAAAATGAACGTTCTCCACTGGCACATCGTGGACGACAACAGCTTCCCCTACCAAAGCTCCAGCTACCCGAATTTGTCCGCCAAGGGTGCATACCATCCGTCCATGGTGTACACGTTGAACGATATCCAGCAAATCGTCGACTATGCCAGGCTGAGGGGTATCCGGGTGATGCCGGAATTCGATACTCCTGGACATACTAGGTCATGGGGTTTAGCCTATCCCGAATTGTTGACCACTTGTTACGGTAATGATAACGACAGAAAATTTAACCCTTTGCATGCTCGTATTTCTATTTAACGAGATTTATCGATCAACAATTCCTAGAACGTAATTATATTCTACGTATTCAGGGACGACGAATTATTGAAATTATAGCACGATCATAAATTTGTTCGTCCAATCGAGAGATAGAAACGCAGGAATTTTCTTTTATATTTACTAATATATTTACACTTGTGAGATGACGATTATACGTACAAGTGCAAAGGGTTAATGAAATATCAGAAGAATAAGTTTAGAAAAAGAATGATTTGATCGTCTTATCCCTCTGCGAGCTAAGTAAAAGAGAATATTTTTAAGTGTTCAATTCTCACATCTTACGAGAATTTTAATTATTATCGAAAAATGTCGATCAGATACGAGAGGGAAGTTAAACGGTAAATTGGGCCCGATGAATCCGACGAATCCGATGCTGTACGAGTTCCTCCGCCACTTATTCGCCGAGATCGTGCAAGTATTTCCGGATCAATACGTTCACCTGGGCGGGGACGAGGTGCCGTTCGATTGTTGGAAGAGCAATCCCGAGATCAATTCGTACATGAAGTCGCACAACATGTCGTCCAACTACGGTCTTCTCGAGAGCGAGTATATCGGCAAGCTTCTTCGTATCACGGACTCGCTTGAGGCCAACACGATCGTTTGGCAGGAGGTAAACTGATCTGTCTTCTTTTTTTTATTATACTACATCCGTTTCCATCCGTCTTATGAATTACGACACGCAATAAAAATACGAGTATATAACGAATCCTTGTTTCGAGAATGTTGGAGAAACGGCTCCAATTTACGAATATAAATATTTTCTCGCACAAAGGGTTGGAAATTATATTATCGTTGAATCGTATCGACCGGTTATTTCAGACGGTAATATCTTTCACCGATGTGTGCGAGTGGAAAGACGATTCCATCTCCGATTATTTCCGCAACGAGCGAGGGTCTGAATGAATTTGAATCGTGTTCCCAGGTGTTCGAGAACGGGGTGGTGTTGCCGAACACGACGATCGTGCACGTGTGGACCGGCCTCTGGCCGAAGAAGTTGGAAAACGCGACGAAGGCCGGGCATCCGGTACTGTTATCAGCCTGTTGGTACCTGGATCACATAGCTGCCGGGGGCGATTGGAAGAACTTCTACGCGTGCGATCCTTTGGCGTTTAACAAAACCGTGAACTCGTCCCATTTGATGCTGGGTGGCGAGGCGTGCATGTGGGGAGAATTCGTGGACAGGTAAATCGTTCTTACCTTTCGACCGAAACTTTCCTGCAAAATAAGTAAATAAACGATAAATAATAAACGGCCGTTTCCATTGCTTTCCTCGTTGCGTAGAAAATTAACCTCGACATTTCTTTTCAAAAGAGATGGAAATAATTTGTGCGTGATTTTCAGGAACAACGTGCATCCGAGAATATGGCCTCGTGCCAGCGCAGCCGCGGAACGCCTTTGGACATTTTCGAAACAAGACGACAAGAAGGCCGCTCAACGACTCGAGGAGCACGCTTGTCGCATGAACAGGCGCGGAATCCCGGCGCAACCGCCGAATGGACCCGGCTTCTGCGTGATGTAACGGGGAAAAAAAGCAAAAAGTGTCAATTGGGGAGAATCTTGGCCGCGTCTTTTTTTTTTTTTTTTTTTTCATTTTATTTTCCATCGTAGACGAATATTTCAATTTTCAATCTTATCGATACGCGACCTTTTTTAAGAATCATCGCAAAAGTTGAAAGTCGCAAGGGAAATGTAATCGAAATGTAAATTTTGATCCTTCCTACGATGAAATAAATTCTTTCGAAAATAATTCGATTCGACGCGAGAGATGTTTGTTGAAATTTCTACTTTTATTATAACTTATCTGTCATGGAGATATAACGATCGATCATATCGAGATAAGATGATACGTTATTTGAATAATTAATCTTCGATCTTAATTAAATTTCTCTTCGAGTGTAGAAAAAACAAAAGGAAATATGAAATTTGCCTGCGATTATCGTTACGAGGGGCGAAAATCAAACGATCCCATGCTTTTTTCCCGCTGTCTGTTCTCCCGCCTGAGAGAGAAAAAAGAAAAGAAAAAAAAAAAAATAGAACCGAAACGTTCGAAAAGAGGAAGATCGGATCGTCCGGGTAACCAAGAAACAAAACAAGCAAATTCATCACTTCGTGACCACCTTTCATCCGCGCATCGTCAAAATTTCAAGTGACCCCGGAAACAGACTCCGAAGCGTGTTAATGTCGTCGTTTCTCGTTAGATTGGGCCTGGTCTAACATCAGGGGATCGACGACATTAAAATTCGTGGACATGGAATGGAGATATTGGCATAATTCCCTATAATTGCACGCATCCGTAATAGAAGAAAGTAAACAATTTTTTTTCCATTTAATAATCACTCGTGCTCGCGATAATTTATTATCGTATATAATAGAGAATAGAATAATAATATTATATCAACCTTTCAGATTTTCCTCGACGAAATAATATCGGGATAAAATTAATCCATCTTTTTTCTTGTTCTTCCAACAGCTCTCGAATTCGATATCCGTTGATTCTAAAACGATTTAATTCAATTTCTTCTTTGGTACAAAAAAAGAATACTCCAGAAATATGTCGTGTTATCGCTCTTGCTGTTCTCCATGCTGCTCTCCACCATCCTGTCCTCCACCATCCTGTCCTCCGCCACCCTGTCCTCCACCACCCTGTCCTCCACCCTGTCCTCCACCCACTATCGTATGCAGACCACCCTGCCCCCCTCGTTGCCCCCCTCAACCAACTAAAACAACAGTGAGTTTCAAATGTATAAATAACTGTTTCCAAAAAAGAAAAGAAAAAAAAAAAATAGAACCGAAACGTTCGAAAAGAGGAAGATCGGATCGTCCGGGTAACCAAGAAACAAAACAAGCAAATTCATCACTTCGTGACCACCTTTCATCCGCGCATCGTCAAAATTTCAAGTGACCCCGGAAACAGACTCCGAAGCGTGTTAATGTCGTCGTTTCTCGTTAGATTGGGCCTGGTCTAACATCAGGGGATCGACGACATTAAAATTCGTGGACATGGAATGGAGATATTGGCATAATTCCCTATAATTGCACGCATCCGTAATAGAAGAAAGTAAACAATTTTTTTTCCATTTAATAATCACTCGTGCTCGCGATAATTTATTATCGTATATAATAGAGAATAGAATAATAATATTATATCAACCTTTCAGATTTTCCTCGACGAAATAATATCGGGATAAAATTAATCCATCTTTTTTCTTGTTCTTCCAACAGCTCTCGAATTCGATATCCGTTGATTCTAAAACGATTTAATTCAATTTCTTCTTTGGTACAAAAAAAGAATACTCCAGAAATATGTCGTGTTATCGCTCTTGCTGTTCTCCATGCTGCTCTCCACCATCCTGTCCTCCACCATCCTGTCCTCCGCCACCCTGTCCTCCACCACCCTGTCCTCCACCCTGTCCTCCACCCACTATCGTATGCAGACCACCCTGCCCCCCTCGTTGCCCCCCTCAACCAACTAAAACAACAGTGAGTTTCAAATGTATAAATAACTAGTTTCCTAAAAAAAAAAAAAAAAAAAAAAAAAGAAAATATAGAACCGAAATAGATTGATTTTAAAAAAGAAAAATTCCCATTCGTTATTTACCTACCACGTTTAATCTTTCTTCTTTGAGAGGAACTCGGCAAAGCTGTTACCCCTTTGCTAAGGACGGAATTAATTATTAAATTATTAACCCTAGTTCACAGTTACACACACACAGAATTAACTTACATTCTCGAAATTAGGTTTACCTACGGCCTTGTACGCCTTGTCCACCCTGTTGCGCCATTCCTTGCCCACCAAAGGTCGTCGTTGCGTGTGCACCACCCCCACCCCCCTGTCCACCACCGCCTCCAAGCGTAACCTTCGTTTGTACCAAGAAGATAGTCCCCTGTATGCCGTGTCCACCGCCGACGCCACCCCCCTGTTCTCCTTGTCGTACGATTTGCAGTTAGTTTCCCAACCATAAATATTCTCCAACAGCAAACCGCGTGCGTGTTCTTTCTTAGATAATTAACGCTCGACGATACGATTTTCTTTCTTCGCGCGCAGTGTCGCATTCCTGTTAACACCAAGGAGCAAGGAGTTCAAAAGGTTTCTTTCGAAAGGATTCGAGGACCAGACTCGTGCAATCTAACGAGAATCATCGACGGAAGCGTGATATTGAATTTTTGTAAAAAGGAAAAAAAGAAAAAAGGTGAATTATCGTAACGTATAATATAGTATAGTACGTATGGTAATGTTCAAATCAAGATTATGTGTATCAAGTTTTATTATTATTTTCAGGGAGTAAACACATAACGAAATTTATCCGAAGAAAATCTCTCGCGATAAAGGATGAAGGATGGAAGAAATCTTGATCAACGAGCAACGGAACGATCTCTGCTCTGTTATATTAAACCCTGTCCCTCTTCTACCGGCTTCTTGAAAGTTGCACGGCGAAAGAAGCACGATGATTCCAATTTCCAATCGAATCAATTTTCCAATTAGAGAATCTGATTTTACGAATCGAAACACGACATAAAAGAGAGAGAGAGAGAGAGAGAGAGAGAGAAGAGATAAAATTAAAAATCGATTCAACGCACGCATCACCTCATCGAAAAGCTTTTTCTTTGAAACGACGGGAAATCAAAATCGAGAAATCGTATAGATACGCGATTATATTAATTCGAAAAAGTTTTATTTTTTTTTTTTTTTTTTCTTTTCAATTTCAGATAATTTTCGATCGAACGCCTGCCATTTCCACGCGAGTTCCACGCGTTTTACGTTGCATCGGCATACATTTTCCCCCCTAGATAAGATGCAACGTGATGCAACGTGAAAGAACTACGTGGAAAGGAATCGATATTTGCCTGTCGATAAATATTATCGATCTATTATTATTCGTTACTCCCATCATATCATCATCATTCTTAAGTGGACGAACGTGAGTACGATGTACTTCAGTATTTGATCACGTTGATCGCAATAGAAAACAGGTACCATTCATTTTTTACTGTGATTTTTTTTTTTTTATGAATCAAGTCACGTTGTCAAGGTTTTGGTACGGTTGCGACAACGGAATGACTGATTTTGTCGTATCACGTTCGAGGTGAAAATTTTGAAGTTATCTCAGAGTTTATCAACCTCAAATAAAACGGAAAAAAATATACTATCACGTATTCTGTGTGCTTCTTTTTGTACATGATACGTAATAAAAATAGCAAAAGTATACCTGTGTACGTCGATTTATTTCCATTCTCGTCCAATGTTTATCTTTCGATGTCCGATGCGTGTTCCCTCGATCCCGAAAATTCCATTTCGAAAATTAAAACTCTCGCCAAATATTATATTTCGAAGACCGAAATAAGACCGAAAAGGGAGGAGTTCCTTCTTTCGAGGAAAGAATTCGATGGATGCACGGCTCGTGTATCGGATCGTGTGACGTGGACAGATAGAAATTTTAAAATTCGAAACGTGTCTCCATGGCAACCTTCAAACCTCGACGAAAAATCTAGCTGTCAGAGTTTTCTGTTTCTTCTGGCGGTGATGTTTAATCCGAGCTAGAAAGTTATTCGGCCTATTCTAGACGATGCTTCACTAAACATTCCTAAAAAAACTCTGGACAAAATTCCGAACGAAAATGAACAAAAGGTAGGAGCATAACATTCTCTCGAAACTTCTCTCCCACGATCCCTTCGTTCCCCATGCACGACGGGTCCCTGGTAGGGGGCTAATCAAGGGGGGTTATCGTCCCTTCCTCGTCCGTGGATATAGCGGTGCGATATTTTCGCGCAGGAAAACTTCAGCGGACAAAAGCAGACAGAGAGAAACGTCCAAGCGACCGAGCACCGGCAACTTGCACGGGAAGGCGAACAACGTCCAGCAAAATGTTCAACGAACCGAGAGAGTGTCGTCTACGCACAATCTAGCCGAGGCCGTTGTTAATACGCCGTTCAACAACAAATCCGTGGACGTTTCCATGCCGAAGACAAGATTCAGTTCCAAGGATGTCAAATCGTCGTGTTCCCCGAGGCTGAAATACTTCCCCATAGAGAAAATCAAAAAGTTGGAAACACCTCCGTCGTTCTGTCCCGAGCCGATGGGCGCTTTGATCGCCCAACAGGATCCCAATGAATCTGGAATCTTGTACGTGTCCAAGAGTCCGGAGAGAAATCGCGACCAGGGTGGCCAGGGTGACGCCACGGTTGTCGCTCAGCATTTGCATCAGCACCAGTATCACCAACATCAGCCGCAAGTAAATCCATCATTTTCTTCTTCTTTTCTCCTCACTTCTCTTCCTCTCGTCCTTCCTTTCTTCCTTTATTTCTTTCTTTCATTCTTTCTTCGCAATTTAGAAAACGTAGCGATGAATTTTAACTTTCCACTTTTAACTCGTTTCGAGGCTAAACGTCGCGCACGTCTGGCTTCTTTCGAACGAAATATAAAAGTTAAAGTAGACGTGTTTAAACGTTTCGAGCTACGATTCCGAAATGAGCGGAGCGAAGCAATTACGAAGGAGGGGGAACCCAGTTTCAAAATATAAACACACGCGTATACGGTAATACGCGTTTATCATTGAGAAACATAAAATTCTTCTGTTTATCGATAGAAATTCGAGAGACAAGCGAACGTTATAACTCTTATTATGTGTATTCGCAAAGATCGAAATAAAGATTCTATACTACGAGTATCGTTCATGGAACATATTTTCGAGAACAGTACGTTAAAGTTAACAAATTAATCGTTTCGGAACGTGCGCGTAATTTGACACAATCGAAAATTCCGTTTAACTTGTTGAATAAATGTAATTTATTTGTAACAAGAACTTTATATATATATATATATACATATATATATATATTTGAAAATTAATTTATTATCTAACAATATTCGAAAAGATCGATCGAAATAAAGATTCTATACTACGAATATCGTTCATAGAAGAACAGTATCGTTAAAGTTAACAAATTAATCGTTTCACAAGTCAACTTGTTGAATTTACTTGCAAGAAAAATTTAAAACAACGAACGAAACGAGTATCCTGTATTAACGAGTATTAATTTGTTTATAACAATATTCGAGAAGATCGATCGAAATAAAGATTCAACGCTACGAATATCGTTCGTAGAGCACATTTTCGCGTTAAAGTTGACAAATTGATGATGGTTTCAGAACATGCACACAATGAGCCAGCAACAGGTCACACCTCAGCAGATGGTAAATCAGATCGGTCACGTGAATCCGCAATCGGAGAGCGCTATGCTGTCGCAACAAGTTTCGAATCTTCAGTCTCATCGTCCCCACGTGCCTCACAGCGGCCGAGAATTTTCTCCTCAGAAGAACGCTCAATCGGTTCCCGCGAATCCTGCGTCTCACGGAGCCGCGACATCCCAGCAAGGGTCTGGCGGAGGAAGCGCTTCCGAGCAAATGGGGGAGCAAGGGAACGCGAAGAACGAGAAGAGTCAGCCGACCGTCGAGGAGGATACGTACGAGAGACAGCCGGTGGGTGGTCGAAACGCGGCGCTCTACAGGCAACTGGTGATGGAAAATAGGCAACAACAGGCGCAACAACAGCCCGATGCCCAGTTTCCTGGCAATTCCCACTCAATGAATCAATTCGCCGTGTTGAACCAGGCCAACAATCAGCACGGTTATAATCACGTTCTAACGTACGCCAATATTCAAAATGCTCAAAACTCTCCCCAGAATCCGCAGAGCGTGCAGAATCCGCAGCAACTTTATCAACAGATGCAACAGAATATGGCGCAGCAGCAGCATATGCAGCAAAGGGCGATGAACTATCAGATGCAAATGATGAAGAATCAAAGATGCCAGACGGCTCCTCCGAATTACAGTGGGATGACTTCGTCCCAGGATGCGATCACGACTCAGATGAGAAATTTGAGAATGATGGGATCGAATTATCCCGTACAGGATCACAACACCGTTAACGCTGCCAATGGATTGTATAGGAACAGCAATAATGCTAACAATACCAATAATACTACTACTGCTAATAATAGTAATCAGTTGGCCGAGTATTCGAGCGTGAAGGCACAGTTGAAATCTTACAACGTCGACGTGGTGAACGGCAATCAAACGTTGTACAGGCCGCAGAATCAACAACAACAACAGCAGCAACAGTTCATGCCTCACTATCAACCGGAGATCGGGTATCAACAACAAATGCAGCCTCAACAACAGATGCAAGCGCAACCGTTTCAACAACAATTGTACAGAAATCCTGTGATGCAGGGACACCAGAACATGATGGTCTACAATCAACCGGGATACAATCAACAGATAAGCCCCGGACAACAGATGATTCCGATGATTCGGCAGCAAAATTTGGAGAACAATCCGGAGAGAATTCAAGGTCAGCACGGGAGGAAAAGGGCGTTGAAGTTCACGCATGGAATGATACGCGACCAAGAGAAATTGTTGGCCACCATGAAGCAGCAAAGAGTGCCGATAGACATAATGAAGAGGCAATTCGAAATGTTGTTGAACGAGCAACGAAAGCATTTGGAGTATCTGGAGCAGCAGAACAACATGTTGGAAGAGGTGAAGCCTGTTGTGGTGACTCGGAAGAGGAAGCAGCAGGACGAGAAGCCCGAATGGATGATTCATTTAACACCTCCGAGATTGTCTTATCTGGAGATAGAGAGAATGCAAGAGCAACGAAGGAAGGAGCGCGAAATGGAGATGATGCAACAGCAACAGCAGCAGCAACAGCAGCAGTATCAGCAACAATACCAGACGATGGACGAAATGTCGCGTCAACAGGTTCCCGTACAGGCCATCAATCAACAAAATTATCAGCATTATCGGGAACAGGCTAATTGGCAACAGCAACAGAAAACTTCCCGGCAATATAACAGTGCTCGACCTTATGCTGTTCCAGGTCCCGGCAACGTGAACGAATCAATAAAAACGATGAAATATCAACAACAAAACGTGCCCCAGTATCATCATCAGTATCAACAATCCCATCATCAGCAACCTTATCAACACGCTCACCAGCATCTTCAACCCCATCAGGAATATTACAATCCTCAACAGTATCAGCAGTATCAGCAGTATTATCAGGCTCTTGCCCAACAACAGAATCGTGAACACGTTCAACCGATTGCCACGAATCAATTGTACGAGGATCAGAACAGACCGTCCACGGAGCCGTCCAGCCTGTTAAAGATACGCCGATACAGGAACGAGATCCGGCCGCAGAGGCGGAACAACGGATTGCAGGAGCCGGAGATGGCGAAGAGACAATTGGAGGAGTTTAGAATATCGGCGGAGATCAGGAAGGGATTGGAGTACATAGCCAATTTGGCGCCTAAGAAACGCGTGGTGAGATTGAACGGGATGCAAGAGAGCAACGAGCTGGACTCCCAGTTCCAGCAACGTTTGATCACGTCTGCGTTGCCCCAATCCGTTCAAAGAATATCCGCAAACGGTTTGGAGAACACCAGGAACCCGAACAACCCGCCGTCCCAACGGTTGTCGAACTTGAAGAAGATGGAGTACGAGTATTTGAGGGAGTATCCCAGGCAGAAACAGAACAATCCGAGGACCTGTTACAGCGTCCCGGCCGAGAGGGAGAACGGGTCGATGGCTATGGATCAGCAACAACAACAACAATTGCAACAGATGCAACACCAGATACTCTCCCAACAGCAATTCCCTGTGGAGAACTCGAGCAAATCGTTGCCCTACAACGAGAATAGTCAATTGTTGCCTCGCGTAAACTCGACGTCGTACAGATTCGACGCGAATTATCCCCAACATTATCAACAGATGCAGCAATATTATCAAAATTCGAAAAATTTGGCGAGGAATCACGGGGAGGGTGATATGGGATCGACCCAAAGAATAGAGCAGAACAAGGGGAATTTCGATCACGCGGGCGGTGATGCCAGCGAAAATATGAATAACACGACGATGAATGGACAAATGGCGGACGGGAAGATACCGTATCAAAAGATGTATTACAGCCAGCCGGATATTCACGAATCGAGAATGATCGGGGGTGTGAGATATTTGGCCAGGAAACAGGATTACATGCCCAATCAGTAGCGGATCGGGAGCCGGAATGGAAATTTTGCAAAAAACGTACGAGTCGATGTACCGACTAACTTTTTTTTTTTTTTTACATTCGTTTTTATTTACTTTTTTTTTCGCTTTTGTAGTTTTGTTTTGATTGGCACGTCTTTTGTGCATTTTTTTTAGAAGAATTTTTTATTCGTCTTTGTATGCGATTTTTTAATTATTTTGTAGCGAAACCCGCTCCTTTGAATCAACGAGTCATACATTCCGTGACCCTGGTTGATTTCAATGGGATGTAGTTTGGATTTTTATGAATTTTTGACAATAAAATTTTTTAATAACCCCTTTTTAAACCGTCGATCTTTTCTCCGTCTCTGGGGTGCGACGTAACGCACGGAAGTGAAATATTTTGAGAAAGATAAAACACAGGCGAGGGTAACGAGAACAGGAGGTCCTATTTCGTCCTATTCATCTCGGATAGTTGTTCCCTTTCAACGCCAAGTACATCCTCGTTGCTTTTCTTCATTCCTTCCTTCCTTCCTTCCTTCCTTCCTTCCTTCCTTTCCGCGCTATTGTCCACGCTCCGTTTCCACGGAATTTCGCTCTCATCTGAGAGATTGCCGTCTGCCAATGGAATACCTTTCATCGACGAAAGTACGTTTGTCTCTCACCTTCTCCCCCCTCCCCCCTCCTCCCTAGTAATTCCTAATTTCTAAAACGCAACGCCGTTGGAAACGAAATTGCGACAAAATTGATGTACTATCGATACGCCCTGTTCCGCTTTTGTTTCTTTTTTCATGCCCATGACACATGACACAACGAAAATGTTCTAAATTTACGGAAAAAGAGGAAGAATATAAAAAAAAAAAAAAGGAAAATTCTTTGATTCTTGCAATACAAAATTCGTGAATGAAGAAAAAAAAAAGTCGATTAAAAATTAGCGGAAAACATGGATTGCGGGTATCGTAATTACATGGACGAGATGCTCCAGATACTCAACGAAATCGAATGCCGGTAAGTTGTTTCGCTTGAACCTTTATCCTCTCGTTTTCCTTTTAAAGGGGAAGAAATTGGAGGCACGTAACATAGAATAATATATCATTCTCGAATCGAGAAAAAAAAAAAAAGATAAAAATTCTCGCAGACAACCAGAACCGGAAATATGCAACATCAAATGTCCACCGTTCGGCTGTCCACGAGGACCTTGTCCAGGAATGTGTTGTTATCAAGGGTTGTGCGATGCTTGCTGCATCTCGAAAATGCCCTGTAATCCGCCACCCCCTCAACCGCCCAAGTGTCGAGCACCGCCCGTATGCTGTCTAAGAAATTACGCCAAGGCGGTCGGCTTTCCTCCAGAATCTCCCCTTTCCCCGGTCAGCGCCCGACTGCGCTCCAAGCATTGCATGGAAATATTGGCAAATATCTGTCGTCCCCCGTATTGTACCACTATGCCAATTTGTCCCTCACCCTGTTCAACAGTCCAACCCTCCAATCCTTATCCGTGCTATTGATTAATTATTATCCATTGAGAGAATTTTTGAAAATTGTTTCTTTTATTATTTTTTTTTTTTTATTGAAAAATCAGTAAAGGAAGATTGTCGTATATAATACATTTATTAATTACATTCATCGTCGAGGATAAAGATTGTGTATCTTTTTTAAAAGAGATAAATGTATAATGATAATTTGCATGTTAAAAGTGAACATTTTTTTGGAAATATAAGGACAAATAAAAATGTTGTATCCCAATGCTGTATATATTTTTTCCATAAAGAGTTAAGAATGAAATTACGACGGATCGTTCTTTTCAAAAAAAAAAAAAAAAAAAAGAAGAGAAGAAAAAATATGTTTCGTCTTGGATGAATTAACGTACACGTTTCCCGTTATTCTCTGTAACATCCGTTACATCCAAGGAATACAAAGTGAATTTGTAATTTGATCAAGAGTTTGGGACGATTAGCAAAGTTCAAGAACTCGCGAGAAACTGACGAGACTTTGACTAATTTTGAATTAAATCCGAAAGAGGCAAAGCGATCTGTATATATATCATCAGCGATATTAAATTGGAGCATCAAGTGGTGGCGTGATTTGCCGCTTCCCCTAATCGAGTTTAAACTTTAATTAAAAAACTCAATTGTGAAATTTGTCTTTGAACAGCGTGAAAGATAATCGAGGTGGGGGATGATGTTTCAATTTCGATAATCGATATCTGTGTGAAGTTGGAGAGGTTAATTGCTTATCGACATACGCAGGCAACTATATATATATATATATATGTAGCGAATTATTTTAAAATCGAATGAGAGAAAGATTTTAAATAGTTTCATATAAATCGGATAAAATGGAGGAAAAGAACGAGGAAAGAACGCAGGAGAAAATGAAGAAGAACATAATAGACCATGTCCATAAATTTAATACGACGCGGATCATTAATTGTTTTTTGCACGACATAAATATATGCTACACGAAAGAGCAGGACAATGAGGAGGTTGGAGGAAATTTTCTCTTAACGTTTTGTTCCGTAATTATCTAACCGATTGTTGATCATCATAGATCGTTGGTCGTCCATCCGAGTACATGAAGCAAATGTTAATGACGACGGAGGAGAGGACGCAATACATCGTGAAATGGGGGCACAAGCTCAGATTACCCTCGTGCACCGACGTCGAGAATTGCTACTTCTACGTCAACCCCAACATCGTCGTATTTCAACAATACACCCCTGGGATGTATTTGAGCGTGATGGTGACGATTCGAAACGTGACGTCGGTAATTCGATTGGACAACGTTTTACAAACACGATTCACGGCTTTTCTCGCGAATAAAATTATATAAAGTTATAATAAAAAAAAAAAAAAGGTAATCGAGATACGTGAAAAACATCTACGAGACCAATCCTTTCTTCGCCGTGGACTTTTGTGGAACCAATTTCTCGACGATGCTCGCGCCTGGTCTCTCCATTACTTACAGAGTGAAATTTATGCCCGAGAGAAGGGAAGATTATTATTATCAGTTAAAATTCGCGACGGATACCGGGGACATGATCATACCTGTCATAGGTGAGAGATTTAATCTTAATAACGAGAGAAAAAAAAAAATTAGAAAGATCAGAAGGGATTAAATTAACGTGCGATTTAGCGATCAGCCCGAGAGGAATCTTGGACTTTCCCGATCGGATCGAGGTACCGGCTACAGCGGCCAAGATCCCCTCTTTGAAAACGATATTTGTGCGCAATGTGGGTGATGTCGCGGCTGATTTCATCCTTTACACCGACAAGTGAGTTTCTCAAAAAAAAAAAGAAAGGAAAAAACACAATATCGAAACGATAACAACGATCGCATAAAATTGCAGCCCTTGCTTTTGGATCGAGCCATCGAAGGGAAGAATAGATGAGGAGGACTCGCTTCAGTTTACCGTACACTTTCTTTCAAACAAGGCCGGAGATTTCGAGGCGAATTTATTCCTCGAATACGACACCGGTATATATCTTAAGGGCGATCGAAGGCCGATCGAGAAATCGATATCGTTTTGTGTCTGTTCCAGGTGAAAAGTTGCGTATCGATCTGCAGAGTTCGGCCGAAAATTGTCACATTCGAATCGACAGAGGCACCGTCAGATTGGAAGAGACATTCTTGGGCCTGTCGAGGAGCAAGACACTGTTGATCCACAACAGAAGCAACCACATCGTCAAGTACAAGTGGATGCTTTTCGAGAGCGTGGAGGCGGACAACGAGCGAAAAGAACAGTGAGCGAGACGACATAATAAACGATCGTATACGAATAACAAAATATTGTATAAATTACTTTTCTACAACTGCAGTTACAAGAAATTGTTCCAACTGGTTTACGAGAACGAGTTGCCCCGTTGCGTCAACCTCGATTATTACACCGTGTGTACACCCGATATCCATCAACTGATTTATCAACGTATCTACATGGACCAGCTCGAGTCCCTGGTGAAAGAAACGTTCGAGTATAAAAACATGTATTTCATGTTCTCACCCATAGTGAGTTTACTTCGGATTAAATCCCGATCTAAATCCCTCCTTTATCGTTCAATTCAATTACGATTGGAAGGAGTTTCTTTCCTTTTTCTTCTTTTCTTCTTTCTTCTTTTTCCAGGAGGGAGAAATTTGGCCGCAATCGTCCGTCGAAGTGACAGTCTACTTTCGCGCGGTGGAGCTCGGTGAAATAACGAGCACCGCTTATCTAGAGGTAACTGGACGCGAAGATAGGATACCAGTGACGTAAGAAAAATTATAAACTCCCCCCCCCCTTCTCCTATAAAACGATATAGATTTTTCACGCCGAATAATATTGTTTCGCCGCAGCCTTTATGGAACAGGGAAAGGGCCGATTTTACAGTTGAACGTTCTCACGATCGATTTGAACAACATCTACATGTGTTCCGTGCACAATTACGAGGTATATCCGAGTCCATCCCAGATCTCGAATTTCTCGCCCTAAAAACCAAACCGAATTAATAAAGCGGATATCGTTTATTAACGAATTGTTTCAGATAATAGCGGGGAACAGAGGGCACATTTCCGGCACGTTGATCTACAGGGAGAAGCCGACCGATTTCGGTGGCACGATCAACGTGACACCCCCCTGCCTCAAACTGCAACCGGACGAGCTCAAATCCTTCAATTTGTCGTTTTCCTCGAATCATAAGGGTGATTTCGTGGAGAGGGTCGATTTCGTGGTGAAAGAGACCCTCGAGGTGCTCAGCTTGCACATCAAGTACGTTGCACGAGGGATCGATGAATAGCGAGGAGAGGGATGTTCTACCTGGTCGAAACACCCCTTTTCTACGTCGCCTCTTTGTCTTACAGGGGTTGCATCGTATGCCCGACTTTGCACTTCGACAAGGAGAGCCTCGATTTCGGGACAACGGCCCTCGGTACGTGAGACTCATTTTGAATCATAGTCGAGTTTAGTAGCTCGAAGAGTAAATCTTGAATATATTTTTCTTATTTGTACGAAACACAGTCCGAATGTAAAAGTAAAATAATAATAATTAAATAATTAATTCTCATCTCAGGGTTCAGTACGAGGCAAGACGTGTACTTGCATAATCTAGCCCTGATACCGGTCGCATTCACCTTAACCGTGTTGAACGACGGGGACGAAGTGGTACTGACTCACGAAGATTTCGCGAAAAGTCAAACGAAACCGTCTTTCCCGACCAATCCCCGAGAATTCGAGGTCTCGCCCGAGGAAGGGGTTGTGGCCTCCAACGATTCCATGAGAATCAAGGTACCAACGATCCTTCCTTCCTTCCTTCCTCTTTCTCTCCCCCGTTTCTTTGGAATCAAATGGGCTCGAAACGATGATAGGTGATTTACACGGCCAATATCGCGCGCGTCGGTCACACGGCGATTCAAGTCGACATGTGGGACTCCGGCTCGCATCCAATCCTCTTGCCGATCACGTTCTGCGGCAAAGTCGCCCCGTTGACCATCGTTCCCAGCGACATCACGGTCCGATTCTGCTTCCTCAATTATCCGTATTCCAGATCCATCGACGTGCTCAACAACTCGGACATAGACGGATACTTTTACTTCATACCGCAACAAGTAACGTTATCGATCCAACTGCCTTCGATCCTTGATACGAGACCGCGTAAAAAGTCCAAGCTTCCAACGATTGAAGGGAAAGAAAAACAGAAAAACTCTCTTTAAAATCTCTTTTATCGTTCGTGGAAAAATTCGTGCCTCGACGTGTTATAGGAAAGCTTGGCGATATTGCGGTCTCGGACGCGTTATAAAGATCGACGAGAATTGGATTCTCTTCTCCCTTTTGATTCAGGTCACCGAAGACACGACCATGATATGCTCGTTCTCCAAGTATCAAGGATACGTGAAATCTCGTAAATCGAGCACAATCGATGTCACTATCATGATGAAGAATTTAGGCACTTACACGCTCATGTTGAAGTAAAAAAAGAAAAAGAAAGTAATTCGTTTTAAATTATTCTACACGTACGATATTATACGTTTGTTGTGTCAGTATGTTCGTCATGGGAAACACGTTACCATTGTCGCGCGTGAGGATAACGTGCACCGGACAGGGTGCCGTGGTCTCCACGAACCCGAGCATGCTCGACTTCGGCAGAGTGAAGGTTCTCGAGGAGAAGAAGATGACTTTCGAGCTGATCAACGATTCACCTATCTCCACCCAGTTCGCTAGAGAGGTACGCGCAGCGTTTAATTATTTATATTAATATAATTCGAGGATTCTTCTTCTTCTTAAAGAATCAGCATAATTCGTCGTGGATCATGGATCCAGAGTTTGGTAATCTGTTGCCTCACGAGACGAAAATCATCACCGTCAAAGTGTTCCTGGTGAACGCGGGCGTGTACAAAGACAAAATTATGTTGTCCGTGGTCGACAGCAGGACCATTAACGTGGATATCAAGGTGGTCGGATACGGATGCAGCGTGATTTTCACGCCCCAGATCTTCCCTGTCTTCGACTGGGGCCTACTTTTCAGGTTTCGATCCTGCATTAACATCCCCTCGTATCTGAATAACAAGGGATCATCCACGGGGAATCATCGTCGATAGATAGATAGATAATTCGTGGTTAGAAATTAACGTTTAAGAAAAGAGTAACTTTCTTTGTATTTACGTTAAATGGCTCGGCTTTAACTCGTTGAATTAATATAACGCGAAGTTGTTTTAATTCCATTCATTGGCTCGACTCAATCATCGCACGATTTTTCACTATTTAACTGAAAATGCAATTTCGATAGATGGGTATATTAATCGTGTATTCACATCGTTGTTGTTGTTGGTTCAGTCATCAACATATAAATCGTACGATAACACTGATGAATCGGGGCACCGTGGAGTATCAAATGATATTTATAAACGAGCCAGAAATACATTTCCGGCGAGGCCAATTGTTGATGACGAAAAAGTAAGAACGAAACACGTTCTTTTTTTTTTTTTTTCTACGTTTTTCCTAACGCTGAAAACTCTGTGCAGCACCAAGTACAAAGTGGACCCTCAAATCGTTCATATCCCCGCCGGAGAGACGAAAGAGGTGAATTGCCGATTATTCTGGGAGGTGTGAGTATATTTGCGAGATAGCTTCGTGCGCAATTTTTCACGATTTATCAGATATTTACTCTACTAGGAACGAGCAAGTGGTGGAAAAGTGGTACGTCTTCGGCCAGTTACAAGACGTGGGGAAGAGGGAATTGATCGACACGTCGTCTTTCACGGTCACATTGACGGAGCCGTATATCGTGTTCAATAAAAAGATGCTAGAATTTCGCGTGGACAGATGCCCCATTGAAGACAAGCTGCAGCAAACAGGTTTTTAGTTAGCGAATTAATACGGGAGGGGAGGTTTGACAATAGAATTCGATGGTGAAATTAATCTAATTTTACGTGTTTCGATTCGAGCGATGGGTTCAAACTCAACGTTGGAAATTAGACTTTGCGACTTTTAAACTGACGAAGAGATATGCCTGTTCTTAGATAAATTGTACAAGTCGCATACGCTCTTGTCGATAATGATGGTGAACCTCTGATTTTGGAAAAAAATGTACATAATATGATATTGAATTGCAGCATTGAAATTTTGTCAGAGTTTACTCGATCGTGACTATTGTCAATGAAAAAATAATCGTTTTTTAAGTAGAAGAAGGCTGGAATTGATACGTAGATTCTCGGAACGATATACATTTTGAACCCATTAATTGTCAGACCTTAGTTATAAGGATTAGAATCTTTTCTGAACGTTGTTTGATCATTCGTGTCCTAGATGAATTACTAGTGACCAATCAGTCGAATCTGGATCTGAATGTACAGCTTTCGATAAAGGAGCCGTTTTACTTGATAACGCCTAAAAAGAACACGTTCAAACGATGAAACTTGTTCTGCTCGATAAAATTTCCACGAAAATCACCGTGTTCTTTTCCTTCGACACAAATAACAAGAGTTACTATTCGAAAAGCTACGAGGAGGTGCTTATGTTCGAGTATCGGGAACATCCTAATCGTGTAAATTTTACTTTTTTATAAGTCATTATTTCGTCGATCGTCCGCCAATGCAATTTTAAATTAAATTAAATTACCGAAGAAAAATATCTATCTCTCAGGATAAGATAATATGCAAGGGCCACGTGAATTATCCAAACCTTCTCATAGAGCCGAACGATTTTATAATTGACTGCGAGTTGGGTTGCAGCGCAGAGAAGATATTGACGTTAACTAATAACGGGCCCGTATCGGTTGTGTATAAATTCCTGTGGCTCGAAAATTCCATCGATATAAAACGCGATGCGGCCGTCAAACTGGTGAGTTTGACTATCGTTTAATTTTCCTTAAGAAACAACGCTTGTCTACGATTGTCTAAAATTGTTCGAAGGGATGCCCCGGGTGTCCATCGCAGGAACAATTGGAGTTGAAGAAGGATATTTTTGTGGCAACCGAGGAGATAAGCGAGGAGCAAAACGAAAGTAAAAACGGACCATTGATAACGACACCTGTAAATTGTATGACGATGATCAATTAATTACGCTTCCTTAATTACAACGCTTCCTTTCGTACAATGAAAATCACGAAAAATGTTTGTCACGAAAGACTCTTTTTCTTTTTTTTTTTTTTTTTTTTACAGCGCCCGTTTCAGACAAACAACAAACGATAGATGTGAATTTCGAGACGTATAATTATCCGGCATCCAAACAGGAAATTAGAAAATTTCTATTGCAAGTCGTTGGACGATATTTCAAGAAGGACGATGATCTGATCGTGTTGCAAAACATGAATGACGATCCTCCACAAATCGATTACATCAACGAGGTTATTAGGGGATGAGATGGGGATATTAAAGAGATATATTTTTATTAAAAGAAAAATGAGAAAAGTTTCTCCGTTCGAGATTTTCTTTCGAAGCTCTCGAGCTCCATAGATATATATATATATTCCAAAGAAATGAAATATGTTTTATGTCACCATCCACGAATAAAAATATCGTTTCCAGGTTTTGCAGATTATTCCAAACAAGGGAACAGTGCTTCCGTATTCCGTGCAACGAGTTCACGTAGGATTTCATGGCTTCGAATGGCTTCAAATAAAAGCTATCGCTCTCTGCCAGATTTTACGGGGGCCAACCGAGAGTATTCATCTATTTGCACGGGCGGATAATGTTCGATACGATATTGACAACGATGTTATCGATTTTGGCCAACAAGTATCCATATTCGAATACTCGACGAAAATATAATAATATTTATCGAATACTGGTTTAAATGGAATTTAAATATTTTACATATCCAGTTGTTTCTGCAACGCCAACGTAAATATGTCACCCTAAAAAATATCTGCACGATAATGCTCGAATTCAAGATAAAAGATGCTGTAAAGTCCTTCGACGAAGATTTCGATCGTTTCAATTCATATGCATTAAAAATCGAACCAGTGAGCGGCTATGTGAATCCTGAATCGTCCGTGCAAATTCAAGTGGATCATATAGCGATGACGCTTGGTCGTATCGATCATTATTTCCAACTGGAGGTAAACGATTCCTCGCAATTTCATTTTTTACATAATTTCTGCGATACGTTGTGCAGATTATATATATATATTTTTGCAAAATATTTTACTTGTATTTTGTTCTATTACAAAATATTATATCTTGAGAGGATATATCCGTAAAAAGTATAAAATGTGTAAGTAAATTTTATAATTAGAATTAGAATGATGAACAATTATCGTGTACCTGAAAATACGAAAGTTTAAATAAGTGTAAAACGATAATTTTTAACACTCTGATACAAGATTATCATAGATTATCAAAATTTCGATCGATTTTATCAATGATAAAATTTAAACAATCCGAGAAAAATTTTGTTGCCAAAAATTTCAACTTTATTATCAATTCGATATTTTTCTGTAATTTCAAAGAATTTTTATTCTAATCGTTATTTACTTACACACGCTTATCTCTTAAAATTGCCTTATTTTTTTTTTTTTTTTACGGTTTTTGAATATTTCAACAGCTATTATTTCTGTTGTATTGATATCGTGTGCTATATTCTCACTTAATTCCAGATTGCTCACTTAATGCCCATTATGATCAAAATAGTCGCCTATGGCATTTTCCCCCAAGTCTATCCGTGCATTCCTAAAGGAAAATTGCACCAGCACCATTCCATCGAGTTGGAGTATTCAGCGATACAATCGTTGACGGAGGATTTCGTGGATAACGTAAGAAATTTGACAATTTTGACGAAACGTTCGCCGAAGAAACATTAATTAAATTACACGTCGCACAGACAGTGGAGAAAGTGGTTGAAGAGAAGAAAAACGATTTATTCGAAGCAGACATGGACATACTAGCCGGTAAGTTTAAACATCTCGTTCATCATCATCCAACGAACGATGAATTCAACTTTGAGATTTATAAAAGTTACTGCTTCATCGATATAACGAAAAGTAAAAAATGAGAGAATTAATTAATCAATTAATCTCGAGCGTTCTTTTACGTCGTTTCGTTTCTTTTTTATTTTTAATATTTGATACGTACTCTGTTTCATTCGAGCCGAGGAATGGTGCGTTATCTCGCACGAGGAGAAGTTTCCACGAACGATGGACATCGACATGGCTGTGGAAAGATTGTGCGCAAAGAAGTTCATCGATGAGAATTCATACATCTCATCAATGCAGTATATTACGATTCAAAAGAGGGAGCCAATCCCCCAACTTTTTTCATGCGAGTATATTATCGGTACATTTTCCTCCTTTTGATCTTTTTCATTTTTTCTCACTTTATTGCCTCGAATATATTTGCATTATCCGCATTATTCGATCCGCGATCTCGAAATTGGAAAATTTTAAACGTACACCCTTAGACAAAAAAGAATGGTACACTGATGACAATTGTCAGGGATAAATTTTTAGAAATACTTAGGAATTCTATCTAAAAAAAAAAAAAAAAAAAACAAAAGATTCGAAGTTGAGGAAACAAAATTGAAAATAAATAAGTATAACGAATACACGGACTTTTGTGTGTTTTATTCAATCACAAAAAAGATATTAAATATCGAATATATATTGAAATATTGAATTGGAATTAATATTGCGTGCAAATCGCGTTACAACTCACTCAGCGCACGCCATTTTGACCGAGAGTGTATATATCTCTCTTTCAAAAACGATCAATTATCCGTAGAGATTCCCTTTAATACTTAATGCGAGAAATGAATACGTTTACCTTGTTCCAGATATGGAATACGTGATCATCGAACGCATCGCTCATTATTCGGCCAATATAATTAATTACGGGCCATGGAGCGTGAACATGAGAATGAAACCGATAGGAAAGAAGGATTATCTCGGGAAACGCGGTATCGTGGTGCACTTAACGAAAAACTCGAATGTGTTGGTCGGGGATTACGCCGTTTTACAAGTGACTTGGTATCCAACCCAAGAGAAATTCTCCGAGAAGAGCACGAACGTGAAATACACGATTTACATTGAAGTAAGTCACGTACTTGGCCATATCAAATTTAAACCAATTAAACGGGTTAAAAATTATAATTTTAGGTGTCGCATGGATGCACGATTCCTGTGACCATAAAAGGGATAGTAACTTATCCATACGTCACGGTCAATACGAAATTTTTGGATTTCCAAGATGTCGTCGTGGGAGAATGTTTGGTCCTTAATATCCTGATCAAAAACGAGTAATAAGATTTACTCTTTTAAGATTGTTATATACAGATCTATTATTAAAGAATTAAGTATATTTTTTTAATTTTTTTTTTTTTCATCATTCTAATAACTTGTGCACCGATATATATATAGATAAATAGATTTTCAAGGCCATATTTACATGATACTTGGATGAACGATAGTTGTTTGTTCCTCGTGAATTAATTTTTCTTTACGCTTTCTTGCTACCTTCATATTACGCTTGGCAATGATTAAAATTAAAAGAAATTTTTGTCACATTTGATGATTATACCTTGATAATTTTGACACGTCAGGCTATTCTACTCTGCCTTTGTTCCGCGATTGAGATCCGCGTAGAATATTTGGATGTATATCGAAATGAATGAAGTTCGGCCGAGTGACCTATATAAATTCCTGGAAATGCGTGCAGGAGTACTAGAAGCGAGAAAAAAACTGCTGACTCAGCCGTGTGTAGCTCATGGGAGCGTGGGCAGTTTTTTCTCGCTTCGACAAAAAAAGTCTTGTTCCTCGGTGTTTGTGAGAACCATTGGCGTAACTGACTGATTATTCTCCATTTTCTCGTATTTAACATTAGCGTAATCATCGTATTATTATTTTCTTTTTTTTTCTTTTTTTTAAATTCAATTTTATCCCCGTTTTTCTTATTTTATTTCATTTATTTATTTATTTTTTTTTTTTAATTCATTCTGTACATATCATAATAAGAACGCGAGAAATTATATCGCGTAACATTCAACAAAGCACTTTATGAATTTAATTTTGCCGGAATGCTTTCGAGAAAATTGCTTTCCATCTACGTTTTGCATCAGAAACAATCGTAGAACTTAGCAAGTGGTTAAGAATTTTTCATCTTTTGAAACACGCAATTCTTGTATACGAAATTCTTTTTATCTCGCGCCATTCCATACAAATAAATTCATAACGAGTCGAACGACGTTGTTTTCTTTCGAAAAAAATCTCACTCTTGTTCTTACTTTCTTTAAAATTCAATTTCAATCAAAATTTCTATTCGAACAGCCAACGAAATTATTTTTGATCCGTCCACGTTATTTACCACGAACGAAGGTTGGGAATTGATGCGAAACGGATGGAAGAAAGTGCAAATATACTCGTGCACGCAACGAGGCTCACTTGAACATTCTACGATCCAACATTTACACTGTCAATTTAATTTCAATTAACGCGTTTGATATCTTTGCATATTTTCCTTTCGTCAAACCCACTTCACCCCCGACCTTAAATATTTTTCCAGAGGATTAATCGATTGCAAATGGGAGGCAAAATTGGTGAACGTTCCTCGGAAGAAGCGGAAGGAATATTATCCATTTTACGTCGACTACGACTCGAATCACACTTCACCGGGCCAATTTGAAATCGTTCGCGTGTATTTCAAGCCTCGAAAGACGGTAGGAATGAAAGAAAAAAAAAAAAAGAACGATAAAGTATGCAAATTTTTTATGCAAGGAATTCCCTTTTCAAAAAAATGTTCATCGTTTCACGCAGTGCTACATAGAAACGAAATTGAACATAATCGTGGACATGAGCCTCGAAATACCTGTTGTCTCGCTGACCGGACGTGGAATCGAAAAGAGTTTAAATATAATCAAATCCAACATTGAATTCAATCCCGTTATTCCGTTTACCGTAATCCAGGAAATTGTTTTCACGATTGAAAATACGTGCCATTATCCCGTGGAGTTCTTTTGGCACCATTTGGACGAGTAAGAACGAGTAAGAGTCTGGTCATCATCGTGGTACGCCTTGTCGTATTGTATACGAAATGAAAATTCTCGAATAAGTTTACAAAAAAAAAAAAAAGAAAAAAAAATTTAAGTCACAGGGCACACGAGCGTTTCCATACGGCACTGAAATCTTTCTCACTGCATGACCGACTGAATACTCGGTCGGTTGCCTGCGTACAGGCGTTATCCAAATACCAAATTACTTATAACGCGAAAAAATAAACGAAGTGACCAGACTCTTTTATACATTTTTTGCTCCTCCCATCTCGATACTACTATATTTATCAATAAACAACGCTATTTTTTATCCAGAAATTTTCAATTGGAGGAAGACATAAATAAAGCTCTGTTGCAATACTACAATATGAAGGAAATACTGCTGCCTCTAAAGAAGCCTGGCGACCCGATACCGTGGCAATTGATAAAATTTTACAAAGAGATATTGAACGAAATGGCCCAGACGTTAATTACGGACAAGATGGAGGAAGAGGACCGATTTGACGAGGAATCTCTCACCTTCGAGAACAATGCGAACGAGATGAACGCGACGAAGAAGAACGAAAAGAGGGAGTACAAGTCAGGGAAGAAGAGAAAGAAACGGAGAGCGAATCAATTCGCGCAGGGGAGGAAAACGAGCGTTCGTGGATCTAGTCGTCGTCGAAAGAAAAACGAGATTACCAGCGATTTGTCCACCACGGATTCGGAAAGGAAAAATTGCCCTACCTTCTCAATTTTTGATGAAACCCTGCTGAACGATGTCCCCCTACCCACGACCGATCCCGAGGAAATTCAACGTCTTCTCTTCTGTAAATTTTCATATTCTTCCTCCTTTTCTTCTTCTTCCTCTTCTTCTTTCCTCTTTCGTTAGCCGGGTTTATAAATAAGTCCCCGATCGCGTGCAAGTTTCAGTGGGTAATAACGAGTTTCCTCCGTTTCAAGGTTACATCGACAATCTCCATAAGAATCCAGACTTACGGTCCAAAATGAAGGATCCGGTGAAGAAACTTTTCGAGAGCATGGAGAAAAAACCGGAAATCGATATTCCAGATTTGGAAAAGAGATTGCCCGAGAAGAGAGTCTGCATCATTTTCCATGGAGCTCCTTTCACGGGTATTTATTCGATGAACCAACGAACGTAAATCAATCGTGACACTCTTTAATTATGTATTCTTATATTCTCGAAATCGCTTCAGAGTATCAGGAGACCGCGTGCAGAAGCGCCAACGCCTTGGGAATCCCTGTTCTCGATATCGATAAAGGGATCACCGAAATAATTGCGTTCAACAAGAGCACATGCGCGATCCAGCTTCGACAGATCATCGACGACGTCTATCAAAAATACATCGAGGCTTTTGGGAAATGGAAGTACGAATCTGATAGAGAGAATTGCGTTAGAATTAATCGTATAATCTTGAAATTGAAAAAGATGCTATCATCATTCGTCCGTTCGAGCGTAGATGTAGTAGATAAATAGAAATGGAGAAATTATTCTCCATTTCGCCTCTTCTCTTCTTTGAAATATACGCGAAATCGTATGGGATATTTCGTAGGCAACGTTCGGAGCAGGAGAGCACCGAGGTCGAATCAGAATCGAGCAAAAAGACGTCGACCAAGGAAACTTCGAGTAGAAAAAAGATTTCTCGGAAAGAGAAATCGTTAGGAGCGAAAAGTTCGTCGAAAAGGAATACGTCGCCGATATCTGGTCCAAAAGAAGTGTCGATATTGCAAGAGGCGATCATTCGGCTGCCCTCGGATCCCGATCCGATGACGGAGTTTTCTAAAATTCCGCCCAGCGAGAAATTGGAGTTGCTCGAACCTTTGACCAGATACGAGTACAAGATTCAAGCTATTTTATTGCTCGAGAAAATACTCGATCTTCATGAATCGCCCAAAGTCAAAGGGAAGAGTCCGAGAAAAAGGGAGGAAAACGTTTCTTTCTCGTTCCATGACATCGACCTCGAACTGATAGCCGAAGTTCTTCAACAAAGGTTCTTTATTAAAGATTTTAAAGAAAAAAAAAAAAAAAAAAGAATTACAAATTGGATATTTATATTATTTGCTTATAATATTCGAGATGAAACGATTGTCACAGATTGGCTTCGGAGGATTTCAAGCGAGGTTTCGTCGTGCAAAGTTTGAAGAGCAATTTCTTCCAAAATAACGCGTTGGAGGCTTTGCTCGCTATATTACGGATCGTCGGTTACATCGAATACTTCCTATTCGTCACGTTTCTCAACTCGATGAGTTGCTACGACAACAAAGTCGAGCAACGCACGAAACAAATCGGTACGGTGCCCGGATCATTTTTACTCGAAACATACGTAGAGAAAACTCGTTTTCACTTCGAGAACGCGCGTGTAATTTTCCAGAGAAAGAAATGCCCGATCCCAAGAAAAGGATACGAGAAATCGACGAGATGTCGGCATCCGAATACGATCAACTTTCCGACGAGGATAAGAAGATGTATATGGAGGCCGTTCTGCCCCGTAAAAAGGAGGAAGCTGCGCGTAGACGAACTCGATTTATGGAACGAATAATGGAACGTATAAAGAAAAAGGTTCTTAATTTTGTTCATCCTTTAAGAAAAAAAAAAAAAAAAAAGAAGATTCAAAATCAATCACATTGTCGATAGAACAATTTCCAGAAATCCGTGGAAAATTGTAAATTTATATATCGCGATATGACCATTTTTTTCTTTTTTTTTTTTCAGGAAGTTTCGAAGATAAAGATATCTAAACGGATATCGAAACGGAACACGAAAATGCCGAAGACGATAAAAGAAGTTAGCAAAAACTCGAAGATAACCTCCAGCAAACAAGAGACGAGAAGTAAAGTAACGAGAAGTAGAGACAGTTCGAAACGAAGTAATTAATAGAATCTCGGGAACGGCGATACAATATGTCGTGAATTACGATCTTATTTGGCGATATTATCTTCCCCGTAGGGAAAGAGGAAGTCATAATTTTGCCGGAAATTAAAGAAGTCATGGCGGCTATGGATCAATATTATTCGGAACTTTCGTTGATTGAAAATGTGATTCATAATTGGGACCCTGTGAAAAAGACGATAATTGTTATATTTTTATCTCAACTCATATCTTTTATCGATAATTTGTTTCGATCCGGTTGTTATTACTCCCTGTTTGCAGGAAACATCTCCTACAACCAAGTCTAAAATTCCACGAAGCGGTAGATCCAAAGACGTGGGTCCTTCGGACGGTTTTACGGGGATACAAGAGGTAATTTATAACGGATCGCAATTTTTTTCGTAACGTAACAAAGAGCAACAAAAGTCTTAAACTAGGTGCCCCTTAATAATTTCCACGTGTGGTACGTGAAATCGAACGATCCTTGGGAGAGGACGATGTACGACCTGGTCGTTTCTCAAATGGGCGAGAACACGTTGGCAAAGCTTGCCATTCGTAAGTTCTGATTCTGAAACTCTTGCGACCCGTAAAATCAACGTATCTTCGTACGTAATTAATACGCAGCTGTCGAGGTGGTACCGGAACCGGATCTTCGCCCGAAAATGTATTCCATAATCAGATGGACGAGTATCGAGAAACGCGCGAGAAAAATTCCGAGCAGTACGATATCGAAACATTTCTTCCAACGTATAACGACACATGAAACGAGCATTATTAAGCACGGCCTCCAACTCGTCCTCCTTTTGTTATTTGCACAGTCGTTTACAACTTGGTTTCCCTAACACCGTCGATGGAGGTTTCTCACACGTTCGAGGAGTCGAACAACACGAGCGAGTTGAGCGTGCAAGTTGAGAGCAACGTTAAGAAAAATCGAAGAAGGAGGAGAAATCCGTCGGGCAGGGAGATGGAGGTGCAAAAATCAACGAGCAAGGAGAACGAATCATTGACGGTGTCGAAGAGCAAGGACGTGAACTTGTGCTTAGCACCGGAAACGATGGTGGAGGAGCCGTTGAAGTCACGATGGATATTGCTACCGGGCGAATGTCGGAGGTTCAAGATCCGATTCCAACCGGAGGAAACGGGCCGCTACGAGGAAACGTACGCCGTGACGATAGCCGAGGGAAATTTCATCACTTACGATATAAACGTTATCGGTGTAGCGGACTTGCCGATGCTCGACATGAATCCTGATACTATTTTCGCGAAGGTAAAATAAATGATGATATATAAACTGGGACCAGAAATGTTGAAATACCAACTTTCAATTTTTCGTCCCACGCTTTTTCTTTGCGCTCCTTCTAAACCTGAATATCTGGCCAATTTTATTTTCCAGACTATGGCCGCTAAATTGCACGTTACAGACAATTCCATATACTTTTACGACACGGAGCTCTACGATTTCGGACCCCAGCTGCTTTTCCATCAAGATCAAAAGTTTGTTATATCACCTTTCTTCTTTTTTTTTCTTTTAATGATCGTAGAATGGTAAACAAGGTTCTCTCAGAAGGAAAGATTCACTAAAAGGAGTTGTACCTTTCCCTCGAGAAATCAATGTTTTCACGTTTATTCGAAAATCGGGTAATTATTTATTTCGCCCTCTCGAGAGCGAGGCGAGGAATAAATCGGAACAAGTTGTTGGTGGAACGAAACGATTCCATTTCCAAGGGAATTTGAAATCGAAGGGAATCGAACGTTCCGCACCAAGTTTGCTCGAAATCTGCAAGTTTTGTATCGCCTCGCCTATTCCCAGGCCGCACTATCGAAAAGCTCGGCTCAAGTTTTGCAACATTTCCAAAGTGCCGGTCGAAGTTTTCTTCTCGCTCTCCGAAAACGACTGCTTTTCCATCGAGCCGCAGATGCTTTATATCGACGTACGTCATACACCTTCTTACTCGACATATACTCGTTTCAAGTATCCCTCCTCGTTTAATCGATCGAATTAATTCACGCAGCAAGGCGATTGCGCGACGTTGATCCTGACATCCGTCGCGACCAGGCTCGGGATCATCAAAACGAAACTGTTACTGTGCATCACCAACAACCCGAAAGTCGAAATTCTCGTGGTAATTATATGATATCGAATCTTCGAAACGAGTATTTCAACGACGAAAAATCGAGACGAAAATTAAACCCTCGAATCCTCGAACTGATTTCGTGCAAAAAATTCATTCGAATGTGTATAAATACACGAATCGAAATCCAATTTAAATCTCAACCATCGATCCAAACCTTGATTTGATAATTTGGTATAATCTCTTGTCTTTTCCACGCCCGGATCGGAATCATTCAGTTTCAAACCGAGGGCACTAAATTGGATATCGAACTGGACGGGAAAAATATGTTTTTCGGTCGCACGCTACTCTATCGAACGGAGTACAGGATACTGACGATTATAAACAATACTCCGGTGCCGTTCTTCTGGTTCTTGGAACTCGAGGAGCCCATTTATTCTCAAATATCGTTCACACCTGTCCAAGGAAATATCGATGCCCACAGTAAACAAGAAGTCGAATTCCAGTACAACGCAATGACGGTAACGCGCGCTTTCCAACTCTTAACCCTTTCGCTGCGTTGCGTAGATCCCCAAAAATGACGTGGTCGAAAATGACGTTGCTTTTAGGAGCAGAATAATTTTTATTCATAGCGATGTACTTTATTTACTTTTCCACGAACAGTTTTATTCGATTAAACGGTTAATCAAGATTAACCCTTTGGGCTCGACGAGTTGTTCAGTAGAGAAGTAGCGACTCGAGATGAATTTTACGAATATCCGACGAGCGTTTTACGGATAAAATTTCTTCCGTTGTTTAGATCTTTGTTGTGAGGCATCATCGCAACGACTCGAAATCAATTTCATCTTCTCTCGAATTTTATTCTCGAAATTTTTTTTAGAGCTTCTAAACTTTACGAAATTACAATACTTTTGCCACGATCGTTGAAATTATCTCCATTTCAAAGTATAAGTTTCCCATTGTTTCCTAATAAAAAAAATAAGAAAGAGCCAAGAAACGTGTTCACAATTTCGCGTTCTTATTAATTGGGAATAATCTAGCATAAACAAAGAACGAAATCGAAACGTCGCGACTGAGAGTGCGTCTCTCGAGCGCAAAGGGTTAATATTTTCACAATTGTAACTTTTTAAATACTATGTATGCAACGAAAGGGTTAAACTATTACCTCAGAATTGAGCGAAAAATTTCTTGGAGAAATTCCCTTCCAGATCGGCATGGTCGACAAGAAAATAGTGAAGTTCAAAGCGTTTCTAGCCAAAGAAGACCCCGATGCTGTTTATACGGAAGTTATCCTAGTGTCAGGCGAGACTTACGATGTTACAGTGGACATCAACGACGCGAATCCTATCGATTTCAAAAGTATAAAAGCGGAATTCCCCACGAAAGCTACGTTCAGCATGAAAAATCGTGGCAACTCAGAGGTGAAATACGTGTAAGAGTATTATAATAATACTGTGCGCGTCTCTCTCTCTCTCT